TCGCTTTCGTATCTTTTTTTTTTTTTCATGTTTTCCTTTTATCCTGCCTATCCAAATATCTTCCTCCTGTTGAACACAAACTCTAATTACCCATCTTTTTCGACACCCGGGAGACTTTTGATTCGCCACCTCCATCAGTCAGTCTAAATGGTCAATTGCAAGAATACTAAACTAACTCTCGTTGAATCATTCATCGAATTCTTATCTTCCTCTCTCTGCTTTTTCCTTCAATGTTACAGGCGCCTTCTAACAACTACGCGGCATACTTATACATAACTGTGGTCACAAACCATCTATCTCAAGTTCACTGGAGAATATATATCCTTGCCGCCTGAAATGATTGCGTTCATGTTACATGTAACTTGCAGAGTATCTTCAATCCTTTTCCTCGAATTGCCAACTTGACAAGTAATGTGCCCAAGGCCACTAATCGAGAGAGAGAGAGACGTACACACGTCATTCGCTCGCTGCTCGCATATTTCTCGGTGACTAAATCGGTAGTGTACACCACAGAGTAACCAAGTGTTCCCAGTTTCTCTCTCTCTCTCTCGGTGCGGTGGAATGCTCCGCAATATATTTGCCTCCCACAGGGCATCTCCCGGGAAGCGGAGAGCGGAATTTATCGGATTGATGGGAGATGATGAGGGCATCTATATGGAGAACTCTCCGCCATCCCCTCTCCCCCGCGATGCCGCCGCCGCCCAGGCATCCCCATTCTCCGATAAAGTCTAAGGAAACATTATGGAAATTGAAAACATCAATGAGCTCTACCATGGACTGCCAAGGCTACTTATATTGTGTTTCCCGGGTTGTTGTTCATGCGTTTCGGACATGAAGATGGGCTGCCATGGAAGTGTCGACTACGGACCACCTTGTCGTTGATATAAATACTGTATGTTATTGATGTAGATGATCAAGGTAGGGAATTGGCGTCTGCAAACCATGGATGATTGCTTTTATTGATTTGATGATGATGGTTGAGACGTAGTCAATCAAAGGGGGTCTCTGAATTGGAATCGTCAGAAAATAGCTCGACAACCGATAAATTGGCAAGAAGAATGATGACGACGTGTTGACGATATGAGGTTGATGTCAGTATATCGTCAAAAAGTCGCATGTAAAGTTTACGTATGGTCGAGAAGCAAGATATACGATAAAATTTGCGGAGAGGTAAACCGAAAAGTATCTGGTATCGTCCAAATCGTATAATGAGATATTGACGACAGTCAGCCTCATTGGCCTCTGCCATATGCGTGTCCGGTTTGAATGTACTCGGAGGTTTGTGAAAAGGGAAAATGAATTACAGGCAAGACCCGACCAAGTCCCATTATGGCAAAACACACACATGTGTTATGAAAAATCTGGAGCCATGACTCGGGAGCCCGGGGGAAGGGATCAGCCAACGCTGGGAAGAAACAAGGTGTTTGGTATGGTTGAGATATGCTTAGTTTGTGGAAACGGTCCCAATCATCGTAAGGTGGTTCGAGTCATGTCTCGTCTTGGCTTTCTTACCCATCCCACATCACATCACGAGCACATGCTTGGAGGTCGAGTGTGGGGCTGCGGAGCAACGACACTCGTCAAGAGCCTCAAACCCCGGACAAGCCAACCATGACAACCAAACCCCCAATCAAGACCCTGCCGCAGCCTCCCCCAAACTCCTTGTCTCTGGGTTAGTGAATGCTACCATTCTTCACCAAATTGTCGGTATCTCATGGTATCGGTTGAATCTGAGCGCCGAAATCGTAAACATGTGCAGCCAAAGTGCTCCAGGGATTAGTTTGTTTGGCTTGCTCGAAAGCGGTGGACCTCCGCCAAGGAGGTCATAGCAAGGAGTTGACCGGGTACGGCCGGGGCTTCCAGGCCTTCAACCAACAATCAATGGATAGTTCCCGTTGGTCCAGAGACCTGGGGATCTGGCCGCCAGCTTACCGAGATCGCATCACGGCAATCATATGTCAATAAAGAGATAAATGGTGCCAAGACGACATTGCCAGGACAGGAGCTGAGAGGAGATCCAGACATGCCAAGGAGAGCTACCCCAGATACGGTTTACTACCCTGCGGCTGACTCGAGCAAGACGTAGTCGGTGATTGGGTGACTCGAGACCATTCCCCCCATCAAGTAGACGGCCACCACAAGGAACTTGCTGCTAAATCGTGGGGAAGGTTTCAAAATCGTTGGAGGCGTTCAAGTGCAGAGAGGCGGAAAGATGTTGACGCGTTTGAGTGTTGGTCAACCTTCATACAGATCAGGGTAACGGCGATGGATTATGTGATAGAAAAGAACACAATTCCGAGACAGTAGCTACATTGGGCAACAGTTCGCAAGATATCTGAGTGAAATCAGTAAGAGCATAGGGAACGTTGAGCACTTGACAATAGTTGCTGGACTCGAACGAGCATTTGCATTGGCGGGCCGTTTGAAGATGAGCCAATGGCTTTGCAGGCTCGAGCTCGTTCGAAGGCCATTGTAGAAGTTCCCGCGGCTTGTCAACATCAGCCATCGTGTTGCAGCTTGTCATCTCATGACTGCCATGGAACAATGGTTGATTGATGAAAGCAGTCACCGATGGATTGGCGCCACATCTGGGTGGCGGACCCAGCAAAAGCTCGAGGTACACCAGATCGGATCGTCCCATGTCATGCATGTGACAAGGAAAAACATGGGACGATCAGGATGTTGGGGATGGCGGTTCAGTTGGCCGCTCAATGTTTGTCTCCGGCAGTCTATGCTCTTGGTTGACTGAAAAGAGTTGAGCTCGAAGGAGGGCGTGATTGTCGAAACAAATGGTGGCAGGGAAAGAAGGGATAAGCGTGATGCATTCAGGTTCCGGACAGCTGAAGGGATTCGCGGACTTGGGGATCGCTCACCTCCTTTCCAACTCCAATGCCTTCTTTTCCGATGGCCAAGATTTCTAGAAGGCCGGACTTTAGCATCTCGTCACCCTCCCTGTTCAATTGTCTCAGCGCCCTAAAAAAGGAAAAAAAAAAGGGAAAAAAAGCCCTGCAACAATTTCGGGTGAAGTCGGAACAGGGATCCATGTCTTTCGTCGTATTTTTGGCTTTGTCAATTCGATGCGTGTCACCCTGGGTGGATGTGAGTTTTGGCCAGCCTGATTGTTTCCCCTGGTCAGCCCCTGAACGCCCAGGGTTCGTCGAAGCGAGAGACGCTCCCGCTGGTGCTTCGGGTGCTTCGTGAGGGGATCCACATGCACCGACACGGCATGACCGCAACCCTCCAGCCTAAACCGGTCCGGCACGTCTGGATGACGGTGACCGTAGGCACTAGCACCCAGCGGACAGTGAGATAACGATCTGATCATGTTTCCTGATTCTGACGCCCAAGTCACGATACTTTTGGCGCGACAGAGAGGCAACATGGATGGGAGTTATCAGCAACCTCACCATATCGCAGTATGCTATGGGCCCAGACCGGAGCTAACGGTACGATTCTGTCGCCCAAGTTAATGACAAACAAGGGTTTGAAGATTGAAGCGATGTTGACGGAGAACACGAACATACGTGTTTATGGGCTGTCCATGGGGGCGCAATTCCAATCCAATCTATTCTGTTACCGCTGTACATACGACCTGTGGGAATCCGCATCCAGACCACAAGAGTGGAAAGCTGTAGTGCGACGGATATGTCAGCATCTGGACGAAAAGATCGTGGTGCTACAGTAGGTATTGGTACGTACAACCCTTCGCATTCAGCACTCCAGCCCTGAGCTGGCACCCACTAAAATGTTGCGGTCCACAGTTTTCAGTGTCTCATGATTCCTTCGCGGATTTTGCGACCCCTTTTAGCCGTAATTGCGCCGTGATGACTTCAAGGGCTTCCGCCAAAAAGTGGATGGATTGCGGACAACTTGCCAATCATAGACGTTACGATTGCAGAGCGGAAAGTTGGATAGACGGTTTGTTGGGAGCTTGATGGAAAAAGTTACGAAACCATTCCGAGAAACCGACGGGAGTTGAGTTGAAAGCAAACCAAATCGGAGGTGGAATTCGACGTCCCGGTGTTTTCATCCCCGATGTTACTATGTTACACATTTGCAACCAAGCGGGAAGGGCCCGCTAGCCCGATTAAGAAGCTGCTGTATGTAATTGGAGAAGCTGATTGGACAGCGGAGTGATCACCCTGCAGCCCCTGGGCTGTATCGAAAAGAGGTTTGACGGATTCGAAATCCACTTCTCCACAAACTGGTGCCTTGAAGTCGACGGTTGCTGCTGCCCATCGCAACAAAAGCACTGCGTGACTCTCAAAAACTTTCCGGTCACAAAGTGGAAGCTGTGGAAGAAGTACACAGTAGACGAGTGGAAAGAGAACTGGGCTGGAAGGAATCAGCGCTGTATGTCAGATCTGACAAGTCTCAGCTACCTAGGTAGGTGGAGTTCAGGACACACAGCTGAATGCTCGGACGTGCGATCGATTACGCCTTGTTCATTCGTTAGTATTCAAATTAGGCTGGGTGTTACCATATCCAAGTTGAGGACAAATGCCACTATAGAAGAACTCTCACCATGCAACGTCTAGTGTATTGCAGTTCTCACATCAGCTGCGGGAGCCTTGAAGATTCGACACTCATGCAAAGCTCGAGATGTCTGAATGGTGGAAAAGTGGAATCGTACTGCGTAAGCAGCGGGAAACTGTGATGGATTCTACGGAGCCGCTAGCCGCTAAGCGGTGGAGTAGCGGTGGGGACTTCGGGTCTAACAAGCGGCATCGCACGCGGACGGCACCTGCATTCCATTCCAGCGTAACAGGAAGGATTTACAGCCCAGAGGCTGGTGTGACGTGCCCCAAAGTCCACTGTCCATACGTAAGTCGACCACATTCTGACTCCTTTTGCACTCTGAACTCGAAATACACGACGCCGGCCACACCCCGAACCATTGCCGGACGTGGGGATTGCCCATTTTTTTGCCTAGAAGAGAATTTCAATGGAACACTACGAGGAGCACACGACCTCTTCCCAAAAATGACTGTTCTGAAAAGATGACGAGACGGGACGCAGAGGTGAAAGACCGGTGCGATACCGGAAGGGAGAGCCCGTCGACAGATGGAACGGGAAAGAGCATCTTCCACGTAAAACCGCCTGCCCTTGCAGCCTTCCATTCAGTCGTTTCCTCCATCTCCTCGATCTTGCCCTCACTTGCTTCGCGTCGTATGTGCCTGCCTTACCTTTTCTGCATCTCACATTGATTCCTCCCCATTTTTGGTGTTGATCAATCATCATCATATCATTTTGGTGGCCGGGATCTGCCGTTCCTGTTACCTCCAGTTTGTGTGTAGAAGCAAGGTACATAGACGCTATTCGTACCTAGAGCTGCTACCGTAACAACAACATCATTGTACCGACCGATTCGCGGATATCGTTTTCAGCATTTCTTGTCGATTTCCCACGTTCCGGTACAACACTTTCCCGAAGGCATTCAAAGCTGCATATTCGTCGCAGCAACAAGCGGTCACACTGAGCAAACCCAACCGGGTGTATTCGGGTGTCTCCAACGGCTGGACCACGCGTGTGTGCAAGGTGTGTTACACTCCCCTAGGTATGTTTTCTTTCTTTTCCTCTTCAGGGCATGCCCAGCCGACCAGGCCAGATCCAACCCACACACCATCCGGACCCTCCCCCAACCGTTTATGGAAGCGTCAAGGCGCCGGCCGTGTGTAATGGAATCCACAGCCGGCGGCAGAATTCGGAGAAGACTCCCCTCGCCAGAGGCAAGGACACAGACACACACTCAGACACCCTTCTCCATCATGGCCAGGCGGCCCTTGAAACAGCCATACCCCGGCTCCCGAAACCCGCCAGACAGGCGTCTGTCACGACAAAGTAACACCCCAAGCACTTGAGAACCTCCTGGCCGTTTTTACCAGATATGCCACATACTCGGCAGCTAACAGCGGCCCTCTTGATGCCCAACTAGAGAGAGCAGAAGGTAGCAGGAATCAGGTGAAAGCAACAAAAAAAGACATAGCGTTCCATCTCAATTTCGCGTCGCATGGGTAAAAACAGACTCCCCGTTTCGCCCTGGACGGTGCTCATGTCCGGCGCAACCGCTCCTCGACTGCAAAAGGTATTAAGTCGGCCGGTCCTCTCGAGTAAACCGGATGCTGGAAGGACTTCTTCTCATCATCTATCCTCTTTGGCTTTGACACAGAGTCTGTTGCTTGCTTCACGGTTCGCTGCTTCTACGCTCGTCGCTACTACTTCTTCTGCTGGTGCATCTACAAGTACCGGTACCTTCAGTCCAGACCCCGGCCCTACCATTAATAAGTCGCAGACCAATCGCAACCCCTCGACTTACACCTCACCTCCAAATTCCCTTTCCAGAACGTTTGGTGCGAGTAACCTGCTGGGCTGGTATCGGACCATCCCCAGCCCTTACTTTAACCTCTCCGGCCACCTCGACGATTTGTCTTCTTTAATCCGCCCTTTCCTGGCTTTCCTGGACCCGTCTTCGCTTTCCTCCCCATACTCGATGGCTTCCACTTCGTACGCTTTCAGCACTTCTTCAGGCTCCGATTTCTCGACCCCGCGGTCCAGCTCCCCTCACTCATCTGCATCAGTTGCGTCCGCACGCTCCTCCCACTCGTCCACCTTCAGTGCAGGAAAGCGCTTGTCCATGTCTTCGGTTCGGCGCACCTCGGCTTCGAATCCGATGTCTTCCGTTGATCTATCAACCATTGAAGAGGCTCTGAAGATGGCCAACCTCGACACACTGAAAGGCTACTGCCAAAAAACGTACGGCGAGGTCCACCAGGAGACCACTACCGAGTATATTTCCCAGGAAGAGGCCCGGGGCTACCAGGTGCTCAACCAACCCCACTGGAACAAGGGTAAGCTTACTGGTCTTTTTTTTTTTTTTTTTTTTTTTTTGTTTTGTTTTGTTCGTTTGTTTGTTTATTTTCTTCCACTTCCTTCGTTTCCCTCCACGTCCCACGCTGCTTCTCCTGTCCCTGTCTCTTATCACTGCAGCACCCGAGCTTGGTTGTCCACGGCTTCCTTGAGTCAGTCTGGCCATGCTCTCATCATCAGTCTCTGCTGTCCGTCAAGGTGCTATCATGCCTTGGTCTGCCAGACTTCTGCATGCACGCCAGACTTGCTTATATTCACGTTTTCTCCCATCTTCTTTTCCCCGACCCCGTCTTTCTTCGACTTCATCTGTTTCTGGCTCAACACTTTCTGTATCTCCGTCTGTGTCACATTCGCCAGAACCGTCCTCGTCACCCCTCGTACACAACATGACCGCAGTTGCTGATTTTTGCATTTCACCCAAAGGGACGTCATTCACTCCTGAAGAGCGGGTGGCCAAGAACTTGACCGGACTGATTCCGCACGTCATGGAGGACTCCGAGAAGCAGGTTGAGCGTGCGCTCAAAATGATCCGCACCCGTCAGACCGACATTGACAGATATCTCTACCTCTCGACCATCAAGAGCCAAAACGTCGACCTCTTCTACCGCCTCCTGATGGATCATGCTAAGGAGATGATGCCATTGGTCTATACTCCCACCATTGGCGACGTTTGCCTCCAGTACTCGACCCTCTACACTCGGCCAGAAGCGCTGTACATTTCGATCAAACAAAGGAAGTCGATCCGTACTATCTTGAGGAATTGGCCCTATCCTCAGCCCGAGATTTGTGTCGTCACTGACGGTTCCCGCATTCTCGGTTTGGGAGACCTTGGTGTCAATGGTGTTGGCATTCCGGTAAGTGTTTTTTTCGGCAATCACTCAATTGCACACGCTGGCAAGACACTAACATGTACCAGATCGGTAAGCTAGCTTTGTACACGGCTGCTGCTGGTATCCACCCGGACAAGACGCTCCCTATCGTCCTTGACTGCGGTACCGCCAACGAGACCAACTTGAAGGACCCTCTCTACTTGGGCCTTCGTCAGAAGCGTATTCCGGTTGCCGAGCAACAGGAGTTCATGGACGAGTTCATGGAGGCTGCCGCTGAAGTCTTCCCGGACATGGTTGTGCAGTTTGAGGACTTTGAAAGTGAAAAGGCTTTCAACTACCTCGATCGGTACCGCGATCAGTACAAGTGCTTCAACGATGACATCCAGGGAACTGGAGCTGTTGTCCTCGCTGGGTAAGTTGGAAAACCCTTCCAGCCCTGCAGAAGATGAAGTTACTTGAATGGGAAATCCCACGTTTCAAAAAGTGACTTGTGAGCGTGAGACAAATTGCTGACAGTACGTTGTACAATATAGTTACATTGGTGCCGTCAACCTTTCAAATGTTCCTATCGAGGAGCAACGTCTTGTCTTTATGGGAGCTGGCTCCGCCGGTGTTGGCGTTGCCAAGCAACTGGTCGAGTACTATACAAAGCGTGGCCTCTCGGAGCAACAAGCTAAGGACAAGTTCTGGCTTGTTGATACCAAGGGTCTTGTGACCAAGGATCGCGGTGATAAGCTGGCCGAACACAAAAAGTACTTCGCCCGTACCGACAACAACGGCCATCAGTTCCGCACCCTCGAGGAGGTTATCGAGTACGTCAAGCCCAGTGCGCTTGTCGGTCTTACCGCCACTCATGGCGTCTTTACCGAGTCGGTCGTACGCGCCCTCAAGGCTTCCGTCGACGCCGGAGGACTCGGCCGCAGGCCCATCCTCTTCCCCCTCAGCAACCCTCTCACCAAGGCTGAATGTACGTTCAAGGAGGCCATTGACTGGACTGAAGGAACCGTGCTCTTCGCTTCCGGTTCTCCCTTCTCCAGCTACACTACGAACGGTGTAACATATCACCCTAACCAGGGTAACAACGTCTACGTCTTCCCCGGTATTGGTCTTGGTGCCATTCTCGCCAAGGCTAGCAGAGTCACCGATGACATGATCTATACCTCGGCCGCTGCCCTGGCCAACTCCCTCAATGCCGATGAGGTCAAGCAAGGTCTTATCTACCCCCGCATTGACCGTGTCCGTGAGGCTAGCGTCATTGTTGCGCGTGAGGTGATGAAGTCTGCTCGCCGTGAAGGCGTCAGCGCCCTACCGGAAGAGCAGTGGCTTGAGTGGGAGGAGTGGGGTGACGTTGACCTCGAGAGGTACATCAAGCAGCACATCTACGACCCCAAGTTTTAGAAGGTCTCATAGATACGTCCAAACGGGTGTGCACAAAATGGATAGAAAGATAGATGGGTAGAGTGGGATGGGTGGATATGGCAAGAGTTGGGTTGGAGTTTATCATCTCGGCGTTTGGAACCTGATTTATTTTATCCTAGTGATTGCCGGACTCACAGGATGATTGCTTTACTGTTGAAGAGTTGGAATGGCAAATAAGCGGGATCCATTACTACCATTAATAAAGATCCCTTTCCAGTCAAGAAAGGATTGGATGGATCTTGAGCGTTTCGGTACTTACTTCTAAAAGACCATGTTGGATGCACATACCCCATGGGACAGCGAGAGATGCCCATGTTCTAACATGGGTCACTCGGCATTAGATACAGACTGTTAGAGTCAAAAGAGGTTGATTCAGCGTTACCATGGAACAAGAAGAAAACGCTTATAGCGCGTTTAGATCACTGAAGGGAACAGGCAACATTGCGAAGGATTCATTGTACATTTTCGAAAGATCTTTGATTATCATCAGCTTAAACTCACTTTGGTGATCCCTTTACTCTTTGACCAGACAACCCAAACCAAGATTATGTACCGAATAAACTCGCGACGACCGGATTCCAAGTTGAAGGGTTGAAGGTGTCTGACTGCCGACATACTCGCTTTTGACGGCTGTTAGATGCAAATGGCACACCTTCAATTATTAACTCTGCATATCTGACATCCGTAGTCGCGAGTCGATTCGGCAAGATTACAGACACTGGCCCCGCGAAGAACCCGAGATATCCTTCTGCATCCTGCATAGGTATATGATTACTTGTGCGGTAACTGGATTTCCACATCGCGTTTGTCACTATCTACGGCTGCCTTTTTCTTCCCGTCCTCGGTGTCGGTGTCGGGCTCATGTCGCACCGTTATTTTTTTGGTTTACCTTCCTCGTGCAGTCCTTTGGGTACCCAGTGCAGGCGGAGAGATAGCGAACTCTTAAAGCCGAGAATGCTATACAGACGTGCTCCTCGTGAATGGAAAGATAGATATGGCGCTTAAAGATTTCTTATTTTGTTACCATAAGCAGGATTCTACCACCCTCTGTAATGATTTAGACAGAGACTGAGAAATCTGGATGATAGATATCTTGCGTGGTGTTCCTCGCTCACTGTCTGGACTACCAACTCGAATAAAAAGAAAACCATCTCAATCATCATGACCGCGGACTAAACCTTGGGTATATATCACTCCGACACTCCAATTCTGCACAATCCCATCTCCTCCTCTTTAAACCGGAGCTTCACCGTCTCTTCTCATTCTATTCCTTCCCTCAGCCGCCTCCCCAGCTAAGAACCCCCTCGTTACCGGATTCTCCACCAACAACCTCTCCCCCTCCTCATTATTACTACCATCAACGCCGCCACCAGTTTCAGTAGTTGTTTGTGTCCGTCCAGCAGACTTGACACCCCCAAACAAACACGTCCACAAATCATTCTGATCCACTGCCTCACCCACCACTCCATCCGATCCTTTACCCATCAGTTTACTCAGATGCGCCTGTTGCATCTCCTGCGCGTTGGCCGCGTCGAGACTTATGTCTTCGAGCGTCTCGGACTCCTTCTCTTTGTCCTTTGCCTCCCCCCTTGTTTTCGTGTTTGTTGAAGAAGAAGAAGAAGAATCAGCAGTACCACCAACAACAGTAGCACGCCTCTCCATATGCTCCAACCGCCTCTTCACACTCAACTCATAGACATTCTGCTCCACCGTCCCATCCACGATATACAACCACACCGTCGTCTCCTGCTTCTGACCAATCCTGTCAACTCTGGCAATAGCCTGCAACTCCAGCGCCGTATTAAGCAGCGGTTCGCAGAGGAACACATGGCTGGCGTTGACCAGGTTCAGCCCACTCGCGTGGGCACGTGCGTGCAGCAAAAAGACTTCGATGAAGGGGTCTTCACGGAAGGAGGCGACGCTGGACACAGCACTGCGGTAGAATGAGGAGTAGCCGATGTGGTAGCGTTCAAATGCCTGAGCTAACACGTAGAGGAAGTCCTGGTATTGCGAAAAGACAATGGACTTGGCGCCGGGGTCGGATTGGCGCAGCCAGAGGAGGTGGCGGATTAGGGTGTCGACTTTGGTGGTGTAGTGCGGGCCATTTTCGAGGTCGATGTTTTGGATCTCGGCGAGTTTGGAGGGGTTGAATTCGGTGTATATCGATGTGTGCTTTTTGGACTTGGACGGTGACGTTGGTTGCTGGTCGCGAGGGGCTAGCTGCTTGTTGGAGTCGCGGATGTTGTGGCCTTCCGAATGGACTTTGAGTTCTTGAGGTTTGTATGTGATGTTGTGCAGGTTAGAGCGATGAAGGGGTCGCTTGCACACCGGGCAGTTGTGGTGAGCTGTGAACCACATTGTGATGCACTCTTTGCAAAACTGGTGGCCGCAGACTGTCAAGACGCCGATGGAGAATGGTGACTGGCAGATGACACACATTCGCTCCTCGTCGGAGGAAGCATCGGCTTGTTTAAGATGAAGCACTGTACTAGGGTGTCAGTACATCATGTTACACCATGGAACATGAAATCACAGCACAAGTGTAGGCGTAACTTACGGTAACGATGCTTCGACTCCGCTGTGGCCACTTTCGTCTTCAACCTTTCTTCCTCGTCGATAGCCCTCTGTAGGACTTGTTCGTTCATGGCCCCTGTGTACTCTTCTACCGAGTCTGAAACTTGTTGGAGTTGCCGGTAGAAATCAAGACGTGCGTTCAAAATGTCAGTGAAGTTCTCCATCTCTTGTTCCATGGCTGTCGCTGCTTTGCCTTGGTCCGTATGCTGAGCCTGGGTTGACTTTAACAATCTCTCTGCCAAAGCAAGCTCAAGCCTTGCTCTTTTGCTCCCACTCGCTTCCTGATGTCGCAAATCCGTCATCACGGCTCGAAGTTTCGAGATAATGCCTCTCAGGGATGTATGACCATCGCCTTCCTTGAACTTCGGCTTGACACTTTCGCGAAGGGCAAAGAGCTCGAGGATCCGCTTGGCCGATTCGGGCGGCTCGTGGCCTGCTTCCACTTCCATATCATCGCGTGCCATTTTAAGCACCACCCCAACTTCGTGTTCGACCAGGCCGTTCTGTTGCCCAGATATCACGGCTTGTCGGTCGGCGATAGCGGCCTTCAAAACCTGTACATATGCCAGAATCTCATCCTGAAGCTTTGTTGATTCCTCGTATTCTTGGCCTGTGGCTTCAACATCGCTATTGTCCTCATCCACCAACGGCTTGAGCAGAAGTTGGATGACATGCTCTCTCCATTCGTCGAGCTTATCGGCCTGCCGGTCAAGGGCCTCGTATATACCCTCGAGAGCGATGATGATGTTGCTACATTCGACGCCGCTTTCTTCGGGTATATCCACTGCGGGGATGACCGCAAAGTCTTGCTTCTGGCGACATTCATCAAGCTTGTCCATCAGCTTCCTCGCCTTGCCGTAACTCTAAACTGTCTGTTAGTACACGTCACACAAAAGATAGGAATGTAAATGTACCTCTTGCAGGATTTCCTTCCTGATAGCCTTCGCAAGGTCGTAGCCTTCGGATTCCAGTTTGTCCAGCCGCTTGAACTCATCAGAGTCCGGAACAGTCAACTTGTCGTCCGTCTTGCTAGAGTAATATCCGTTTGCGCACAGAAACACGGCCATGTGCTGAACTTCAAGGGCGAATCTCAGTCGCCGACGGGCATCTTTGAGTCCTGCTGAGATGTCCTCGTCATCATCCGATTCGCTATCTTCCTTCGCACCTGACGGTACCATAGGGTCTTTCGCAAGCTCCGCTTCAAGCTGTTTCCGGCACTCCGCTACCATCTCTACACTTTTCGCGCGGACATCCTCCCAAATAGTTAGTGCGTCCTGGACGCGGTCCATTCCAGCCAGAATTTGTCCTCTTTTAAGCTGCATGAGCAGGAGACTACGTTGATCACTCCTGATGGCACCGTCACTCTGCTCTAGCATTGCATCAAGGACCTCGGCCACTGTTCGCATAGGGCGACCCGACCTTTTGCCTAAGGCCTTGCGGTTTCGATTTCCCACTTCAGGGTGAAGGGTCAATTGCCGCAGCTGATCGAGGGCAGTCCGCATGCCTTGTTGCGTGAAAGGGTCTTCGGGGTCCCAGTCTTCCTGAATTGGATTTCCCTCAACATCCAAGCCGCAGTTGTTGACGAGCTCTCTGAATACGGTCCGGTAATGTTGTTCCTCCACGGCGCTGAAGGGCATTGTGATCACATGTCGTTTCTGAGACGGAATCGATATTTCGCTTCTGACCATACTCTTCGTGTGCCGCATTGTGATGGAGCCGAACAGGCTCTTGAAGCGCGCCTTGTCGGACATTAAAGCTCGCCAGGCCTCTTTATCCGAGGCATACGGCTCAACTCGGAGGAAGTTCAGAAGGCCTCGTAGATCTGGATGCCATCCGTTAGCCACTGTCAAGCCAAATGCAATCTAGCCTTTCAGGCAGAATTTTCACCTTTCTGGATGTCATCCTTCACCGGAGTGCCAGTGATTGCCCAAGCATGAACGCGGGGAATACGTCTTGCAAGTACGGCAGTGTTGCTGTTCCAGTTTTCCACCATCTGGGCCTCGTCAATGCAGACACGCCACCAGCCAAGCTCGACGAGGGGAGATGTCTGGCGCTCGTATTGCTTTATTCCGCGCATGGATCGTTCAGGATGATCGACGGCTGACCAGATCTCGGTCCGAAGAACTTCATAAGTGGTGATGACCACATCCTGCTGAGCCAATTGCGTGGACGAAAGGTCTACACCCTTCATCTTGGCCGCCTTTTTCAGCCCTGGATAGTAAACCACCTTCAAAGTCGGTGCATGGCGGTTCAATTCGGAAAGCCATTGATCGAGAAGAGGCAAAGGCGTTATTATCAGGGTCGCTCCTGTTGTTTGGAGCTCGCGGCCAAGAAAAGCGTCATATGCCACTGTTGGGCCTGGTGGGCGTTTGTGAAGCAACGTGAGAGCAATCACTTCGACGGTTTTTCCAAGACCTATCAAAAGTCAGTGATTCTGCTTTGAGCCCACAGCAATCAAATCCAGGGACAAAAGTTACCCATTTCCTCGGCCAAAATACCACCTTTAACCATGTCATTAGACGGGAGCTTCGTAATGTCCTTTACCACTATGCCAAATAACGGGCTGATATAAAACGTTTCGCCATCGAGCTTCTTAACCTGGTGGAAAAAGGCAGGGAGAAGAGACGAAGCTTCGCTCTCGGAGGGTTGGACCAAAGGTTGGCCATCGGGTTGAGGAAGGCCGCTCCATTCGACACCTTCCCGGTGTAGAAGCCACTTGACAGCCCTTCGCTGGAAGGGATAAAGGTCCGTCTCCAGACTGGGGATCTTTGCTGTCGCGAGATGTCCGTCAGAAATATTGGGCGTTGGAGTATGCGCTGCTTCGTAGAAATGCTGTGGAGTCCATGCGATGGTCTCCTGCGCTGACACGAGTAAATTCGGGTAATACGCCATCAGCACCTGAGTTTTCAGCCCCTGCTGAACCTTGGACTGGTACACATCTGTACTAGTGTTCCACATTAGTCTGAGAGTGACATCGATCTTGACAGATGCTCCTTCTTGACGGATGGCGATGTCCACAGCTGTCCAAAGATAGCCCGGCGACCCAGGGTCAAATGATTGTGTCTTGGCAACACGGGCCATGAGAGCGAGTTTTGAAGAGATCGCCCTCGTCTTGAGGGCATAGCAGATATGGGCGTTCTTGTTCTTATTTGCGCGACTGTTGTTTTTGCTAGGAGCGAGATGCAAGTACCAGGCGCCACGTTCTGGATCACGGCGGTCGGGTTTGGCATTCACCACCCAAACGTCTACGTAGTCTCCTATGTTTTGCTTGTTGAGACTAAAATCTTTGGGAATAGCCGCAGTATCACGGACAGGAAGGGCGACCGTGTGCTCGTCGATACAAACGGCATCGCTAGGTTTGAACACGCCCCGCGAAAGTTTTGGGCGCTTAGCAGGTCGAACTTCAATGTCCTGTTCGGCATCAGTTGTGGAAACGGCGGGATCAAGTCCAATGGACCGAACATGGTCGACAAATGCGGCTACGTTTTCAGGGTTGGCTTCCCAGTCTGACCGGGGTTGTCGAGACTGCCCTTGGGACTTTTTCTTTGGAGGCATTTTGGCGACAAGTCAAAGAAAAATGATGTCGTCGTGATGAGGTTGACCAACGTTCGTCAACCAAAGCAAGTGGGTGGCAGTGGTCAGGAAATTCCACGGCATGGATGTGCTTCGTTTCTGTGATGAACAGCCCGATGCTGCCGGCATGCTCGAGGTTGGCGATGAAGGATGAACAGCTGTTGGACTGGGACGACGAAAAGGTGTTGATTCTGGTAGTAGGAACAGGGAAGAAGGGAAAAAGCAGGGCAGCCTAAATACCCAGGACGGGAGGGCCCGTGAATGGAAGCACAGTGAATGGGCGCCAAGAGGCACGGCCGTCCAACAGATGCAGATGACCAACCTGTGAGTTGGTGAACCTGAAGATGAAGGTGCATGAAGCAGGAAGAAATGAGTAGGAAGAGGAGTACCTACGTAATAAGGAGGGAGACAGGAAATTGTTACGGCAAGAAGAGCTCGGCAGCGCAGGGACAGGCAACGCAGAACCTAAGGAATCACACGCGGGCGTACAAGCTGGAACAGCACTATTCTAGAATAGTGTACGTAGTGTACATACTTGTAAGTTTATAGGGCTGCCCTGCTAATAAGGGTCTTGGCATGAACCCACTTAACCGTGCTGTGTACGCAGTAACATAGGTGATGCAGGGACGCCACTTTACCCCGTGGAAAAGAGCGCTTGTCATTGGCTCATAGGCGGGCGGGAGCTACCTTGAACCCCACCAGCAGCTTCAGACGCTGGACGTCGGGCGCTCAGACCGGTCAGTGGTCCCGGCTCCAGATTTTCGGGCGGGCGAAGCGGGCTGCGGAGGAAAACTTTCCCAAGCGACGGGAGTCCACCGAACCGACTGCCCGCGCGCGACCAGTCAGTCCCGGGGCCGGAATTTGTTAAGGAATCTCCATCCACAATAGTATCTCGCCCCGTCTCTTTCCCCGGCTCCGTGATATGAGCGGCAACCTTGACCGATTGCTGGCGACACCTCTGCAATAGGTACGCACTTTTCCTCATCCCACTTCCCAATCACTGTGGTCTTCCCACGGCCTTTGCGACCTGCGACTTTGCCAGTTTGTTATTTGTTTACTTGCCCACTAACACTTTAGACTTGACCCAGCACGGATGAAGTCCTCCCTCCGGATCCAGTCCACCCTTGGACTCCTCTTCCGGCCCTGCGCCGTCTCGGCCCCCGCCACTGCCCCTGGGCTCAACGCACACGCACGATGGGCGCATAAGATTGCCGCCCAGCTGCCCCTCATCCCCAAGCCGACCCCCTTCGTCCCCGACGTCCCGACCTTCCTGACCTTGATCGGTCGCGACCTCAAACAACATGCCGACAAGTTCCCCACGTGGGAGGCCCTCTTCACCCTCACTACCGACCAACTGAGAGAACTCGGCGTCGAGCCCCCAAGGGCAAGACGCTACCTGCTGCGATGGAGGCAACGATTCAGGGAGGGCAAGTTCGGCATCGGTGGCGACCTCAAGCACGTTGAAAACGGTGTCGCTTACCTGAAGATCCATGAGAAGGAAGCAAGCCCCACCAGAACCTCACGAAAGGTCGTCAACGTCCCCGCCAACCAGAACGTCGACGAGGTTTCTGAAGGCGAACGTGTCAAGGTCAAGGGCTACAAGGTCAAGGGCGTTTCTACAATCGTTGGCCCCTATGCCTTGCCGGTCCAGAAGGGCGTCGCCAAGCTCGCCGTCACTGAGGGCATGTGGGAAGACAAGAGAGGACACAAGGTCGACGGTGGTGAGCGTAGACGCGCCGAGGTGCGCTTCAAGAGAGGTGTGGCGGAGCGCAAGGCCCTAAGGGAGAAGATGGGCTTCTACTAAACAAATCAATCGGGCTATGGTCATGGATGATTGGGTTGGTCGAGCTGCCGTCAGATTTGAACGTTTGCTCGGTTGGCCACAAGCTCTACTCCATTTGTAGCCATGTGTAAAATCTGTATATTAATGGGATTCGGCTTGCCACGTTCCGGGGTCCTGGGCTGTTCTCATCCCCTGGTGACCCATGTCTTGCGACCATCGTCGCTGTAAGAATGGCCAGATATTTATGTGCGGGGATGCTATGGACATGGTCGAAGAGGGCTAGAGCAGTCATGGAAATAGTCCATTGGACTTCCTTCTGTGTAGGTGACCTCTAATCCCATCTTCAAAGTCTTTTACTGACGGGGCTTCAGTACATTGGGGCTTTCCTGGAAAAGTCCGGCCTCACTCCGATCCCAAACCATTGGCACTAGAATCCTTTGTCCCGGTTCGTTGTCAACCCAGTGCATCCGTTTGAACGAACAAGCCGTGCTCTCCGGATATAGCCTGTATGCTGTTATGCCCCTTATCTCCGTGATCAGATGCATTTAAACGTTCATGGCTTTCTTCGGCGATAACAGCCAACAGGACCCCCCATTTTTCTTGGCCATTTACCTACTAGAATAGCTTCTCCTAACAACGTCCGCTTTACCACGCACGCCCTTTCACGTTGATGTCTTACCATCAAGTTTACCGTCAGCTTTTATGCGCCATACACCAATAATTTCTAGACCAGCACCCCCCCTTTGTGATTTTCCGTAACCTGTCATTCCTCTATGGTCTGTTTCAAAATTTGTCATTTCAAACCGGAGTGGTACAACATAAACAAATACCTCAACAAACCACCATCGCTTGGTCAAAAGGCTCCTTCCCAAATCGCACTGCTAATGCTAGATGTATAGACCGCGAAATACCTCTCCTTCTGATATCGTCAAGAGATCCGGATCTCTGTCGCACTTTTCTGTTCAAGCAAAACGGAGCTGTTTTCATTGAGAAGGAGATACCGAGCCATCTATTCGGAACTGATCCCACTGACAACCGGCCATTTCAACTCCTCGGTTTACCTCGTCCATTCAATCTCACCTCATTACAGTATCATCCAAGCCGGGCCCAGCATCATGCAATAATAACTCACCCTGGTGGAACAATGACAGCAAAGTTATTTTTGCTTTTTTTTATATTTGATCAGAAAAGCAATAAGAACATGAGAATGGCGGTCTTGCTCTTTCTTTTTCTTCTTAATTTCGGGGACTCACAAAAGGTTGTTGGTGTGCAATGCGAAGTGGATGTTGGACGGAAGGAATGCATCATACGACGGACTCAGACCATGTCGACGTTTCCAGATTGAGCCATCCCCAACCAAATATGGACCCCGCCGACACAGATTCATGATCTCTTCGAGTACAACTTTTTTCTGCCTACATCTCGGACGAAAACTTCAACAGATCATTGAGCGCTTGCTGCGGCTATTCCTGGACATTGGCACCCAACAGGCTTGCCATGGATTTTGAGACGGTATCCTTGGCAATCCTGGCAATCCTGGGACAACAAGCATCACCCTGAGGCGTTTTCGAGAACTCAAAATAGCTCTTGTTTCATCATCCAAAGCGCCCTCTCTGTGCTGTCCCCGGCAATATCGCCAATGATGGCATTGAGGTCCGATATCACGAACCAGCTTCTCCCTCTCCACCGCTGGTCCTACCTGCACAACCAGTACGATGTGGGAGGTTGATGGTGTCACACAGGGGACTAAATCCAGGAGCTTCTGGTCTGGTTACACAGACATTACCAAGCTTCATTGGCAGCTGTGCCGCAGCTGAAATCGAGACACGCTCGACGCAGCGACGTTCCTTGCCGAATCAAGAGCGAAAAAGTCCATCAGACGCCTTCTTTCACGTAACATACAGAAAAAGCTACTCTCTAGAACACCATGGCAATCTCCCAAGATGCCAAAAATTCGGCCACAACCTACTAGTGAGGTGAAGCTCGAAATCTCTCAAGTCGATGCCATCTCGATTGGTGATGGCGGGGTTGGCGATGACGGTGGCGGCGCCGTTTAAGCTTAAACCTGTGAAGGTTACAGCCGTACCACATCGGGGGAAAGTCCGAACGGTGCCTGCCATCCCATCAAAACAGCTACGTAATAAAAAGTCAGATATAGGTAACTCGATTCGTATCGGGCTTGGCTTGCAGCTAACATCGCATTTCTTTACAGATTTTTATGACTGTCACTCACACCACGTTCCTAGTGAATGAGTATCCATCCGCACAGATGGACAGAATTGGAAAGGAAGTGCGCCCCTTTCGGGAAACATGGAGGGCATAGCTTGGCGGAATTTTTTTCTTTCCAAATTTTTAATTTGCTTTTCTTTGGAAAAGAAAGAGGAGAAAATCCCTGGCTACACTGGCGATGTGCCCAACGGACTACACAGGACTCATGGCCCACAGTTCTGAAGTGCATTCATTTCGAAGAGGACGTCTACCATAGACTTAACAGAGACGATACAGAGAGCACTATCCTCCACTTGAAGCCAAGTACTGGATACATCACCCCCACAATTGGTACTACTACCTCATCACACGGCACCCCTGCGTCTCTCTTTCGCTCGGGATCTCGCTTATCCTATTTGGTAACGAGAGGGCCGCTTCACACCACACACTCTTCAGCGCTATTTGGATCCCTGACGGCCACCCTCCTCAAAGCCAAAAACAAGGGCCGAACAACGTTACACACCAAATCCATTGCTGAGTCCAAAGAGTCCTTTTGTCGAAGTTCTGAGCTTCATGTCTCGGTTGTTTTTTTGTAAACCAAACCCTTGGTCACCGTTGGTCTCAGCGCCAACTCCTCCTCTGACCCCCGATCTTCAGTCATGACAAACTATAATGCTTGGCCGTCAACTTAACGCGGTGACTATACCCCAATATGGCTATAGTAAATCGCATAGATTGCGGCTGAGCTGCATACGCCCTTTGTAAGTTGCATTCTACGTGGAGAGGGAAGACACCGAAAGAGTCAGAAAGGTCACAAACCCACTCAATCATCCTCGATATCAACTCTTGCCCAGGGGAATCCCGGTGTTATGGAGGAGCCCTGGTAATGTTGAATACTTTTTCCTCTCAACAGACGGAGACTTACATACACATGCCTTGGGGTCCGCTGTTAGTAAATAGCGTTTTACTATGCGCCCCGGCCATTTCCCTTTTCTCCCCCAGTGTTTCCAAGAGGTTATCACCGTGGAAGGTCTACATTCATAGTACAAAACAGTTTGGGGAAGCAAGACGCATGGTTAAGTACTGTGATGACTTTTTTATCCGTTCATTTACCTTTACTGGGGCAAGCTTAAGTACAGTAGTGTAGTGCCTACGGCTCGGCACGCCTTCCATGTCCTTCCTCCTCACACACATACGCCAGCGACGGTATTTGTTATCCTTACCGCGTACCTAGCTCTACAGGGCTCTTCAGGTAACTTTGTCTCGTCACATGGCTTGTACTGCATTAGCTCGTCTACGGTAGATCTTGCCTGCATTGTGAAGCGTCAACGCACGTATGGGCCGATGTCCTATTGACAGACCAGGGATGTCATCAGGCAGAGGGGTCCTGCCTTTGAACTAGACCCTAGGGGACACGGGAAAGTTGGGTATCGGATAGGAATGCAGGTCTCGAAAGCCAATCATGAAATGTTCCCTAAGTCGACGAGTGTTTAAACAGACAAATGGTTCTAATTCTGGGAAGTTGATGGGAATACTACCATGCTACCTCGACCGCTCCACGTCGTTTCTAGCCAGACGTGTACGAGAACAAAGGCTTGTTAACACGACATCAACGCCGCTCATCCAGTGGAGAATAACCTGCCTTGCGTTTTCCTGTGACTATTCCTCCCTCTTTACAAACTGACCAACAAACTAAACGCCAAGACATCATTTACTTCTACAGCTGATGTTGATTTTTGGGCGCTGCCCGACTTATTTTTACATCTTCCTTGTGAGATTGCGTCACAGGACCTAGCCTGTCAGCCTTACCAGCTTCTCTCTCGAGACCTACCTCTTGATCCTCAAAGTCTTCACCTCATCGGCGAATAAGCTTGAAACACTTTCGACGTATACGAGTAGCGGACCTATACTAGGTATTTTTAACATACAGACTGGAGTCATCACAAGCATTATTCTACCTACAAACGACATACAGTACGAAAACGAGAACCTCTACCTCATTGAACGCCAAGGCTTCTTTTTAGGACATATCTTAAACAAGGGCTCGAACAAAATGTCTACCAATTTCTGCGTTTCCGCCAGAGACCTTGGAGCACTAGGTACCTGGCGTGAAGAAGAACCGTTACAGTTACATGTTTCTCGTCGTCCTTCCACTGCATTATCGGCGTTTCCGTCAAGTACGAGTACAACAAGATTGGCGGCTTCTTCGACTGCCCTGGATCATAGCGAACACTTAAAGGGCGGCCCAGGAGTTCTCCCTCAGAGTGTTTCGGGTGTTGTCGCCGGAAAGGAAGAACGGTTTTACGTTCAACCACGTGTGACTAGATCAGCATATTCTCGACGACGGTCACTACCCGGAGCAATCAAGCAAGGAAACAGGGGAAAAGGGCTGAGGAAGACGGTCACAAAGGCTTTGGATTGTAAGTACTTTTTACGTTCAATACAACATTGCAAAATTTGTTCTCAATTGGTAATTTCTTTTTTTCTTTTTTGAATTTTTTTTCTCTTTTTTTTGTTTAAAGCTGCTGTTTTCTCTCCCTAAGACGGAAAAGAATCTCATACCAAGTCTTCACAGGCCATGGCTCTCAGACTATAGTCGAGGTAGATGAAGAACATACACAACCGAATCAACCTGACTATACTAAGGTTGAAGATGAAGATTCATTCTCCGTCATCTGTGCCATAGACATACGACTGAATGACGATACCAGTTCCGGCAACATTGAACAGAGCAGCCGAATCGAAGAGTCACCAGCGAGCAACCCGTCCACTTCACCAATTTCTTCACCACCGGCTGATGCTCACTCGCCCACAAACAACGACAACATGACCTCCTCTTCCTCCCATAGCCGCCCCACGTCCAAGTCCACTGCCTCCAAACATCCTGCCTCGTCCTCCTCTCCCACACCAAGATCTCCCATCCCATCGTTGAAATCCTCCACCACCAAAATCTCAATACCAACCATACCCCCCTCAGACAAACATGAAGATGAAGACAATAATGATCAAGAAAGAGACCAAATCGACAAAGACGACTGGCACCAAATCCACGAACCCGAACAACGTCGACGCATCCAAAACCGCATCGCCCAGCGCAAGTTCCGCGCAAAAGCTCGCTCGCTGAAAGACCAAGCGGCAAGGGACGCGCAGAATAGGCGGTACGCCGGGTGTGCGTATACGTGTCCGGAAGTGGGAGACTTACCTGTTGAGTATGACATCAGGGAGGAGGAGAAGGAGGACGAGAAGGACAGCGAGGGTGGTGGTGGTGGTGGTGGTGGTGGAGATGGGCAAGAGGGGGGAATAGGAGGAGAGAGGGTCCTCTCGGGTTTACCATGGGGTGGACTGAGCATGAGGTTTGTGGTCGGTCGAGGACACGGGTATTATCATTACCAACAAACGTCAAAGGGATCAGGATCAGGATCAGGATCCGGATCAAGGTCTGGGACTGGACCGTCTGGGACGGGTACGGGGACTGGAACGGTGACGTCGCTACTATCCCCTACGATCACGGCTTTGGGTACGCCTACTACGCCTGTGCCTACAGGGACTAGCGATGGGGATGCCTGGCCTGCTTTGATGCAGCAGCAGCAGCAGCAGCAGCAGCAGCAGCAGCAGCAGCAGCAGCAGCAGCAGCAACAACAACAACAACAGCAACGACATCAGCAACAGCACCCACGATCGGCTACATATTACGGACAGCACGTGAGTGGGAGTAGTGCAGGGTCGCCTTTGTCGCCATACGGAATGATGATGTCTATGGGTATGGGCTTTATGGGTAGTAGTGATATGGATATGGATGTGGATTATACTATGGCGGCGGTTACTCCGGGAAGCGGAAGTGGAAGTGCAAGTGGTGGTCACGGAAGTTCCCTGGGGGTTGGTGATGGTATGGGTGTGACGTATTATGATTCATCACCGTATTATTACGGCTATGGAAGTGGTGGTGGTGGTGGTGGTGGTGGTGGAGGTGACACGGCGAGCGGCAGTGGAGGCAGTGTCTAGGGACTGGACTGTGAGTCTGTGGCTGGATGGCAAGGCTGTAGGAATTCTCTTCTCTATCCTGTGAGTTGTGTGTTTCTTGATGATGGTTGGTCAGGATACGGGGTTTCTCATGACTGATTTCACTTCTTTTCCTTGCACACAGTATAGCGTATACCCTTTAGCGATTCTTGTTATACCCAAATATGATCAACAATGTAGATCTGTAGACTTCACAGGTTCCCCCCCCCCGACGGTTTCTGTTCTGCCTGCCCGAGGGTTGGTTAGTCCCTGCCTATAGTGTCGAAGCTTGCAGTCCATGCTTCATTACCACATTGGCCTCTGGTAGCCTACCAAGTACACTACATCCAACATCTCATTCTTCTAGAAGGCTTGGAAAGCTTCCATGACACGGGAACACGGATCGGAGAGGACACACAACATGTTGTTGCGTATGTATTACGCTGTAGGGACCTGCATTATAGCCGAGTTGGTAGCGAATCCTTGTACAGTAGATGACCTTGATAGTACAGACCTGAAAAACGAGCAAGGTAAGGCGAGGCGAGTTGAAGCAAGGGGAACATCCCGCGAGTACTTACTTTATCAGCGGGTTGGGTAAACTGCTGTGCCATTTTGTATTCTTGCATGCGTCTTCTGCGCATCTTCTTTGCATCCCGTATATTAATGAGCTGTAGGGCTGCGCAGGAATGGTGAGGGTATCTGGAAGCGAATCAATCAGTTTTGGTAACTTGGATGAGGTTGGACATCTCCTTTCTCTCTCCCCCCCATTGAGTGATGCCTGTAGATCAGTTTTCTTCACCTAATTCTTGGCTTCACCGTCCGCTGCCCATCCCCGTCGTAAGCCTTTTATTTTTTTGTATATCTTCATTCCGCTGCTCCTAAAAATTGATGAAATTAGGAATCGAGTTGTCGTGGAGGGGAAGAAAAGACGGAATGAGACGGGAGCTGGAGCTGGACCTTCGCTTGAAGTCGCACAAAAGGTGGGGGAGCGGGGATAACCCCCATTTAGCCCCGCAATTTGCTGAAGAGACGGGACCCACCTGGACTTGGGCTGTTGGAGTCGCTGTGGGGTCTCGTTGAGGGCCGGGGCCTCTTCAAGGGGTCGGGCCCGCCTGGTTTACACCCCCTGCAGATTACTTAGCGCAGCTTCATCGTCATGGAACGTGTTCAGAAAATAGCAGGAAACGAGCACCATCACAACTTCCGACCCGCCCCCATCATCGAGACCATCTCGCTGTACTCACTGGAACTGGACGCTGATTCGACAGAACCGAATCAATCTGCCGCCAGTTCCTCAGTTTTTCACCAAACACAAACCTGTCGAAAAGTACTACCGATGCTCATCAGGAGAAGCTAGAAACAGCTACACCGAACAGCTATCCCAAAGCTCAAGGTACCGTACCCCCCCTCCTACCTCGGGACCACCTCCATCTTGGGAACAACATCAAGCCATGGCGCCACCACCACCCCGGCAACCGCGCCAATTGAGCTTGGTGCTCACCCTCTTCCTCCTCTGTTTCAATGTCCTCTTCGGCCAAGCCGCCGCCCAAGAGGACGAGGCCATCCTCAACAGCGAGATTGCTCGACTCAACAACCAGAGCTTGCTATGGGGTCCCTATCGTCCCAACCTCTACTTTGGCGTCCGCCCCCGCATCCCCAAGGCCTTGATGACGGGTCTGATGTGGGGCAAGGTTGAGACATACACCGACTACCAGACCTCTCTCCGGTACACATGCGAGCAAAATGAGGGCATGAAGGGTTATGGCTGGGACGAGTACGACACTAGGAGGGGCGGTGTTCAGTCCATCCACGACACCGAGAACGGCATCGACATCACAACCTCCTTCGTCAAGGTTCCCGGCGGCGCGACCGGCGGTAGCTGGGCTGCCAGAGTCAAGGGTCGGCTCCAAGAAGGTGTACCCTCGGACCGCAAGACTGCTGTCATCCTCTACGTAACACAGGAGGGACTTGGCACCCTTGAGGCGGCCAAGGGAGATGATGAGAATGGCTATGAGGGCCATGTCACCCTCAACGGCAACTCTGCCGCCCTCGGAGACTACAAGCTGGTCCTCACCAAGGGCAAGGGCAAGCACCCCAAGAGCGACCACAAGGTCACCGAAGTGCGTGGTGATGCCCACACTGTGGTTCAGTCCTTGACCTACCAGGAAGAGTTCCTTTGGCAGGCCAAGGGCATCGTCTTCAAGCAGCTCAAGGAAAGTGTCGACGCTTTCGTCGAAAAGTACTTTGACAAGGAAGACCCCCCACCGGCCTGGCAGGTATTCCAGCTCGAGAATCGCCCTGGAGCTGGAAATGTTCACATCATTCAGAGGGTCTTTGAGGGTGACTTTGAGTTCGACATTTTGTTCTCCAGTGCATCGGCTGGCAAGGAGCTCTCAAGTGCCGATCTGACCAGGGAGATCCAGGAGGCTACTGAGTCGTTTGGTGAACGCTTCTCGAGCGTGTTTGCCATCAAGGCTCCTTTTACCGCTGAAAAGTATGAAAAGTTTGGCAGGAGCATGTTCTCCAATCTCATTGGCGGTATCGGTTATTTCTTTGGAGAGTCAGTGGTTGACCGTTCGTATGCACCCGAGTATGAGGAGGATCACGAGGGATTCTGGGAAGAGGCTGCTGCGGCCAGAGCTCGCAACAAGCCCACCCTTGAGGGCCCTTATGAGCTCTTCACCAGCGTCCCTTCCCGACCCTTCTTCCCCAGAGGCTTCTTGTGGGATGAGGGCTTCCACCTGATTCCCATTGCAGACTGGGACATTGATCTTGCCATGGAGATTGTGAAGAGCTGGTACAACCTCATGGACGAGGATGGCTGGATCGCTCGTGAGCAGATCCTGGGCGCAGAAGCCAGGAGCAAGGTTCCCGAGGAGTTCCAGACCCAGTACCCCCACTATGCCAACCCTCCTACGCTGTTCTTCATTGTCGATACCTTTGTCAACAGGCTGCGCAACGCTAATGGCACCATGCCTGCTGTCAAAGAACACCTCTCCCAAGGCGTCTCTCTTTTCAGTGCGTCTATCGACAACGTTGAGGTAGGACTCGAGTATCTCCGCCGCCTCTACCCGCTTCTTCGCCGCCAGTTCTACTGGTTCAAGAAGACACAGTACGGTGACATCAAGTCCTACGATCGCGACGCCTATTCCTCCCGTGAGGCTTATAGGTGGCGCGGCCGCACCCTCACGCACTGCTTGACCAGTGGCTTGGATGACTACCCTCGCCCTCAGCCACCTCACCCTGGTGAGCTCCATGTCGACCTCATGTCGTGGGTTGGCCTAATGGCTAAGTCGCTGGCCAACGTCGCCGAAGTCATTGCGCCCGAGGAGGTTGAGGATTACACAAAGGTTCTCGACGGAATCGAGCACAATCTCGATGACCTGCACTGGTCTGAGAAGGACGGCTGCTACTGCGATGCCACCATTGATGAGTTTGAGGAGCACCAACTCGTGTGCCACAAGGGATACATCTCCCTCTCCCCATTCCTGACTGGTCTGTTGAAGCCCGATAGTCCCAAGCTCGGCAAGATTCTGGCCCTTATTGGTGATGAGGAGGAGTTGTGGAGCCCTTATGGCATTCGTAGCCTGAGCAAGAAGGATGAGAACTACGGCACTGCCGAGAATTACTGGAGAAGTCCCATCTGGATCAACATCAACTACCTTATCATCACCCAGCTTCACGTAAGTTAACTGTTCCTAAACCATTGGGCTAAAGCGGCATGCTAACTCCCACTAGAACCTTGCAACCCAAGAAGGGCCCTACCAAGAGACGGCCCGCGACATGTATCAAAGACTGCGCAAGAACGTTGTCGAAACCATCTACAACAGCTGGGAGGAAACTGGCTTTGCGTGGGAACAGTACAACCCGGAAACGGGCAAGGGTCAGCGTACACAGCACTTCACCGGCTGGACCAGCTTGGTGGTCAAGATCCTAGCCATGGAGGACCTGCCCGAGGCTGCCCCAGTGGCCCCGGTTGAATCACAGTACGTCAAGGACGAGCTATGATGAGATTGAGCTGTCGTCTAATCAGGCTACATCGCTAGAAACGACATACCGGAGTTGTAAATAGAGGTGATGAAGAGGTATGGGCTGTCTTGAAGAAATATCACTGTATCGATGGACATGACCGCTTAACTACGTGCCACTGTCGGTTGTCCTTTGTTTGGATATTGTCTTGTTAAGGCTTGTGCGTGTGTAGTCAGGGGGTGGCGCAGTTTGGTCTGTGCCATATACAACCCTAACCCGGGACCCTTACTCTGCTGTAAAAGGGTGCTATATTTGGCCCAATGTAGCTCTTTGCTCCGGAGCCCCGCGAGGCACCCCTGACTCTAAAGTTACAGTTACGTGATAAGCCCAGGTCCGGGCATCAACATGGGACCAGCACCGACCCGACCTTTCGTCGTATCGATCCAACCTGCCCTGGACTGCTGTTTTCCATTCCGCCTTTCTGTCTACAACTACGGAGCTGGCATGTTGTTCAATGCTGTCCAATCGACCGATCACGAATCCTCGTATCGGTAGTATTGCATCTCACGACGGCGGGGGGGCCTACAACGAGGGCAACGATTTTTCCAACATCTTTCTGCCCGGCAGCAGCATGAATCTACGATACGTCCCGCCTTGAACTACCTCTACTACCTACCCCATCCGATCACGACACCACCGCCTTGAACATCAGCAACAGCAATACCAACATCGGACTATAGTTAGCTAGCTACTACAATTCAACAACGACATTCACGGACCGAGACACCAACACAACACCATGTCCAACTTCAAAAGGGCCTCCATGGCGGGTGCCGGGCCAAAGTCCGCATCTTCGTCAGCGATGATGGCAGGAGGCGGCCACAGCAAGAACGGCAGCATCTTGAACGCCCTCCGAGCGACCACAATGATTGATACCAAGCCAGTATTACCAGCCGGTATGCCACCTATTATCCTCTGCTACCCCCAAAGCACTCTTTTTTCCAATACCAGCTAACAAATACGTCGATACTCGTAGAAATCCTCGTCACAATCCTCGATTATCTCCCCGTCTCCGACCTCCTCCGCTTCGCCCGCACCTCCCGCCGCATGCGCGAGATGGTCTACGACGACACCCGCTGGGTTGCCCGCCTGCGCTCTATGGGGGTGTGGGACGAAGCGGAAGCCCGGCGGCGGTTCGAGGAAGTAATGAAGCGACGGCGCGAAGCCGCCGAAAGGGCGGAGCGGGAACGACTTGCTGCCGCTGCTGCAGCAACGGGCGCAACAGGAGGATCAATGCCCATAGGGAGAGGACAGCCGTTTCCTGGACAATCACTGGAACTGTTTCCTGGATTGCAACAACAGTACCCAACGCCGCCGCCGGTGATAACGACGACCCTGTTCGATGCAGGCGAGGAGGAGCTGAGGAGGAAGAGGATCGCGGAAGAGCAGAAAAAAAGGGAGGAGGCGATTCAGGCGGCGGCTCAGAGAAGGGCGATGGAGGAGATGGAAGGGTTGCAGGATGGGTTTGAGACGATGAAAGTGGGAGGAGGACAAGGGGGACTGTTGCCAACAGCGCCGCACAAAGACCCCTTTTCGGACCCCGAAGCGTTATTGAACGTGATCAAAAACGCCCGTTCCATCCGCGGCCACGCCCGACAAGAGTATGGCAAGATTTACGGCGCGCTAGCACCGTTCTACTTTGACCTGGCCAAAGCAAAATCGCACACCGACCCGGTCGTCTTTCGCGTGTTTCGGGATCCGGAGCGGCAAGCACAGATGTTGGCCAACCTGCGGACGTTTGCCAAGTCCGACTGGGCCGCTGGCTGGCGGCAGCGCGAGGAGAAGCTGGCGACCATGGCGGGCATCTTCGAGAGCGCGGTGCTACACGAGTTCGAGACAGGTTACGAGTTCTGGGACGTCGATGGGAGGATGCACAAGTATGCGCACGTATTGGATCTGCTGAACGGCGGGACGGCGGCGGTGGAGCTGTTTATCCATAAACATCCGATTTTCACGGATAAGGAGGTATTGGCGAACCCAATGGATTGCGTGAATCAGGCGCTGGCGGACGATGTTACGCTGGAGCCGTCAAGGCGGTTCTTTGAGGTGTTGACGGTCAAGGTCAATGAGCAGGCTGATATTATCCAGCGAGTGTTTCCGAAGCCGGCCGAGGTGTTTTGGTCATTGATGGGGAAAATCAGGGATGATATCTTGACGGATTACGTGACGCCGTTGTTTGACGAGACGCACGAGAGGAGCCTGGCGGCGTATGTGAAGGCCGTTTCTGGTCTGTTTGAGCAAACGTTGCAATTCTTTAGGACGGTAAATGCGCCAAAGAACGAGAAGAACCCGAAGGAGCAGGAGGAGCTGGCAAAGGAATATGCGCTCAAAGTGTTTGAGCAGCATTTAGATCTTTATCTGGCGGATGAGCTGGATTACTTTACCCAGCAGGCGGAGGCGGAGGTGGGAGAGTGGGAGAAGAAGTTGTCGGAGCAGGATGCTACTGCGGAATCGTTCTACATGGGCAGCTTCACCAACAGGCAGGCGGATAAGAAGGACTTCTTGACGTCGTTCAAAAAAGTGGTCATGATGCCCGTGTCTGCTCTGCCAAGTTTGCCGTTAGGGTCGCCGTTTGCTTCAAAGCCTGCCACAACCCCTACGACAGCCACGACAGCAGCAGCGAACGGCGGCGAGCTACAAGCGCCGGAAAACCCTGAGCAGTCTCATCCAGTCTCTCCTAGTCTGGCAGCGCCAGTGACTGTTGATCGTACAGGAAGTCCCTTGCCGGACAAAGCCCCCACGGATGAACTAGCAGCAAAGGCTGCGCTAATGACGTCCAGGCTAGAGGGAATCAAGTCCCTCTTCAGCATCGAGGTTGCCCTCAGTCTCGTCCACACGGCCAAATCCAGTCTCGGCCGCGCCGCTGTCTTCATTCAACTCGGTGGACAAGCCGGCGGCGAAGCTCGCGAGCAGTGCGAGGCCATATTCGTCGCTTTGCTCCGCATTCTCGGCAGCCGTCACATTAAGCCCGGTTTTGACAAGGCAGTCGCCCATCTTTCGCAATACAACCCGCGCGAGGTCTCCCACCACGACAAGGGCGGTGTGGCACCCCTGGTGACCTTCATCGAGCTCGTCAACGTCGGAGACCTGATCTCGCAAATGATCGACGTCTTCTACGAGCAACAGCTCACCACACCCAAGATCGCGGACCGCAACGATTTCCTGGACCCAGCCGGTCTGGCCAAGAAGAAATTCGAGCAAATGCTCGACGAAAGCGTCGCTGCCGGTCTCAACAAGGGCATCGACGTGCTCATGGACGAAGTCGAATACGTCTGCGCCACCACCCAGCAACCAACCGATTACAACCCCGCCATGACCACCGACCCATTCAACGACGCCGCCAGCATCAGCGGCATGAGCGTCACCACCGAAGGCACCACCACCACCACCAACAGCAGTAGCAACAACAACCGAAAATCCCGATACAAATCCGGCACACCCTCCATCTGGTCCCTCCCCTCTCTCCCGGGTACTCCACCCACCCCCGGCGGCTCCAGTGGCACCACCAACTCCCTCGGACCGCAAGACATTGGCCCCACGGCCACCGCCCTTCGCATCCGCGACCTCGTCGCCTCACACACCTCCATGCTGACGGGATCCACCGATAAATCGATGCTAGACGTGTTCAACGGCGAAGTCGGCCTGCGTCTCTTTACCGCCGTATGCAAGCACCTCAAGCGCCAGCGCATCTCGACCGAGGGCGCCATCAAGCTCATTGCCGACGTGAATCTCTACTACGAGTACATCCGCACCTTGAAAAACCAAGACCTGCTAGCGTACTTCAAAGCGCTGAGGGAGTTGAGCCAGATTTACCTGATTGATGCTAAGCATCATGCCAAAGAAATGGCGACCATCATTGCGGATAACGAGCGGTTTAGTGGCGTGTTTCGAGCCGAGGAGGTGTACGAGTATGCGGAACGAAGGGCGGATTGGTATAATGTGAGGAAGGAGGTGGAGAGGGCTATGTATGGGTTGGAATGTTTAGTTATGTGAGGTAATAGGGAGGGACCATCGAAGGGTGTTCCTTGGTGATACGAGAACGAGTGTGGAAGATTTAACGAACAGCGAGCATCTCTATTTTTTTTTTTTTTTTTTTTATTTTTTTTTTTTTTTTTTTTGAATTGAAGAGCATGATGAAAATTCTAGTAGATAAAATAGGATATGAGGGTTACATACATCAATGACAAAGCACCACATACACATTTTCCGCTTTACGAGCTACACGTCAGGAGACTCTCCCGTGGATGTGATTCAAAACCGATTTGATGTCTATGGACTGATGAGATGTGTGGTGCGCCCAAACGCCTTTCTCTTGCTCTATATTGTCAATGCCGTGCATGCATACTGTATGTGACCCTTTCCAACCCAGTGTATCCGTTTCATAAGTATATAATGCCTTGTCCAGAAATGCTTGCCATCATACTTGTAACCCTCGCCCAAAGCCTTCTCACCTCGCGGCGCCAAAGTCCAACTTTCTAGCGACCTTGGAGCCGCGCACATCATCATCCTCCACCATACCATTCCGTCTCTTCAAATCCGCCGCCAACTTCTCCTCGGCCCCTGCCGTCTTCTTCGGCAAGTCATGCTTAGGCGTCGGCTTGGGATCTGCCTTCCACCACCTATGCTCCAGCATCTCCCTCGCCGTGATACGCCTCCTTGGATCCAAAACCAGCGTCTTGGTCAACAGATCCACGCCATCGGATCCGACCGCGCCAAACCGACCCATGTACTTGTCCTTACCCGCCACGGGCACCACGTCGCTGGGAACCGTGTACTCCTTCAGCTGCGTAACACCAGGCCAGTTCTCCTCCGTCGGCGTGCCGATTTCCCTGCAGATCAAGGCGATCTGTTCAACCTCCGAGTTACCAGGCAGGTAAGGGGCGCGAATGATGAGTTCGGCAAACACCAGACCCACCGACCAGATGTCCACGGCACCCGAATAGTGGCGGGCGCCGAACAGCAGCTCGGGAGGACGGTACCATCTGGTGATCACGTTCGCCGTCATTCGCACGCCGGGGTCGGCAAAGCTCCGTGCTAGACCAAAATCCGCCAGTTTGACTTCGCCGTCGGCGGCGATCAGCAAGTTGTTGGGCTTGATATCGCGGTGCAGCACGTAATTGTCGTGACACCACCAGATGGCGCGAGTCAGCATGCCCATCCAGGCTTTGATGTCAGCGGCGCCGTAGCGGACGTGGTCGACGTCGCGGATGAGCATCTCTAGGTCGCCGAGGGGAAGGTATTCAAGGACGAGGTTGAGGTTCTGGTCCTTGGATGAAAAGACGGAATGTAAGATGATGATGTTGGCGTGGCCCCGAAGCTTTTGCAGGTACTTCATTTCGCGGATGGCGTCGGGCGCGATGCCATCTTGGTATTCTTTTTGGACTTTGATCTTTTTGATGGCGACTTGTGTTGAGGAGTCGAGACGGGAGTGGCCGAGGTAGACGTTGGCGTAGGTACCTTCACCGAGTTTCTTACCTGTTGCGCACGATGATAGGTGTTAGTTCGATAAACTCCCACTGGAAGAGTTGGTATGACCGAGTACAACGCACCCTTAATGTATTTGTTCTTCTCGTCTTCGTTCATCTGTTCCATCAGATCCAAAGTCGGGCGGGCTAAGGCGGCGATCTGCTGGCCCCGGGCCGACCGTGGAAGTCCCCCGCTTGGGGTGCCGCCGCTGGATGGCGGAAGGGATTTCGGTGGCTGGAGCGCATCGGTCGGACGCGCAACAAGAGGGGAGTTCGCCATCTTGCTGGTTCTCGCGGGTGCTGCAACCCTCGGGCGGACGGTGTAAGGTGATAATGCCAAAACAGTCGATTACTTAGTCCAGAGATCGCGGGGAAAAGACGGCCTCGATGGGAGGAGAAGGTCGGGCGTCAACGGCAGATCAACGACCGGTGGCTGTTCAGTTGTTGTTTTATTGTTGGTGATGGTGTTGGGCAGCTTCGTAGAGGCAGCCTTGCATAGACGGAGTTAAGATAAGGACGGAGGATAAGGGAAGAGAGAGTGGGATTGAGCTTTGGCAGATGGATGGATTTCGGTGGAAGGGCCCTGTCAAGCAGTGCCGGAGGATCCCCGTGTCTCTTGTGGGTCCACTGGTGCCCGCTGGTGTTTTGAGACAGCGATTTCCATATTTGTTTCTCGTCCCGACATATACAAAAAGACATCTTTCTTTGATGGGAGAAGGATTCAAAACATCCGTAGTGTTTCTTCACACATCAACTTGGATATCTTATCATGAATGATATGCATATCACCATCAAGGGAACCTCTGCCGCGGTGCCGTGCGATGCCCTGCCCAGCCCGCCGATGACACCGTCACACCGTCAAACTCGTTTAGGTAAGCACTAACAAGCAAAGACCCCTGTAGCCGTAAGGATAGACCAACAAGAGACACGCTAAACCCCGAAGTCTCAGTGCTCCACAGGGATGGGCAGGCGCCCGGACCCTGACGTCACTGCTCACCCAACCAAAGTGGCAGTGTGAAGGCTTCTTCCTCCTCGTGGACAGGCGTCGACATCAGTCCGCGCGCGCCGAGTACAAGCCGGAGATCATCCGTAGGTTGGGCTAGGATTACAGAAAAAAAAATGAACAATGATGAAAACGAAACCCATGCCATGGCAGAGACAAGGAAGTAATCCACGAGAGTAAGCATCATAGCGTGTCTAGATTACCATAGACTCCAGAACATAACTCCAGGATAGCCCTTTAAGGTCCCCCTTGTGCGCAGTCCGTCTCGTCTCGTCCTACTTACTCCCCTTTTGACTTTCTTTTCCTTGTGTCATACCGGAACTTCTCGTAGTTTGTTGCTAACTTCCACTCGACCTTGGACACGCAATCAACAAAGCGTGGTACATAGCTACCTACCTAGCACCCAAACAGTTGATTGTGACCGAACTTTCCAACATTCTTCAAGCTTCCGTTGTCAGCATCTCAACCCTTGGGTATTCTTTTTTACTACGACTACAATTTTCCGTCTCTTACGACCATATACTTCGTAACGACGGGACGTGCTTCGTCCAAACTCCTACACGCCCGTTCCTTGTTCCTGCATCTCTGCTCGCGCATCTAGTGTACTAGCGAAGCTGTGGGCGCACAGAACCCGTGTTACATCATATTCTGCTTGTACACTACACGAACCACCTAGACAACAGACAGAATAACAAACCCTGTTAAAATGTTGCGAGGGATACTATCATATTGGGTAAACCTTCACCTTCCCCCCCCATCCATCCATCCATCCATCCATCCATCCTTTCCTTCTTCCCATTCTCATTCCCATCCCCCCAAGCTATGCTAACACAATGCCCCTTTTCCAGATTTTCCCAATAATCTCCGGCGTAGTCTGGCTCGGCACCCTCCTCGGCCTGCTCATCTACTGGTGCACCGACGAACACCGGCGTCATTATTCCTCCATGGATTCGCGGCAAACCATAGCCTACATCTCCGACGTTGGCGCCTCCACCTTGAAGCCCCTCTTCATCGCCGGCTGTTCCGTGACCACCGTCTTCCTGGACCTCTCTTTCGGCGCCGACCGCTGGCTCCGCCACAAGGGCCGCTTGGTGCCCAACACCACCGTGACGGAAAAGGTCCTTTCGGGCATCACCATTGTGTTTGCCATCATCGGCACCTGCGGCCTGATCCTGTTGAGCATCTTTGACACGGCGCGACACCCCCGGCTGCACGATATTTTCTTGCTGCTGTTCATTGCCGGGTACGTCATCAGTGCCATCTTCATCTGCTGGGAGTACCAGCGCCTGGGCATGCGGTATCGCGAGCACCGCGTTTTGCGCATCTCGTTCTGGGTCAAGCTTGCGTTTGTCGTTGTCGAGATCATCCTGGCCGTCGCGTTTGCCAGTTGTAGTTACACTGCGCACTATAACCCGGCCGCGGTGTTGGAGTGGACCATCGCTTTCATCTTTTCTTTCTACATCTTTTCCTTCTGGATCGACTTGTATCCCGCGGTCAGGACAAAGGGGACCGGTGGGTACAGGGGAAACAAGGGCATGAACGAGCATATGGAACACAGTAGGGAGGAGCAGGGGATTGCGGGGAGTGATAGGACGTTGATGGGAGAGGGATATGCGGCTGCTCATGGTCATGACCAAAGGAACAGCTACTACAGCGGTAACGGGTACAGTGGTAGCAGGCCGGGGACGGCGCCGAATCAGCAGAGCGGGTTGAGGGGGATGGCGCTCCCTAATGATTTTTAGGACAAGAGGCTAGGATGATGCGATGACTGTATTTCTTTGGAGGGAAGAACAAGAAATGGCCATCAAAGGAGATAAAGGAGGATATTGAGTAATGCTGGAGAGTGCTGGGATACCACATGGTTTCGATATCACGATGAGCAAGCAAGGAGCGGGAATCCGTCCCGTCTTGATCGATGACGGCAACCCTCAATGACTTATGAGGCGTTAAGGAATTGGCAACTTTTGGTTCTAGATCTTCACTTCTTTTTATATACTTTTGTTTTTGATTATTATTGCAGTAATACAGACGTTACGAGTTACCATAAAGCTTAAAGCAAAAGCCAGTATACAGTTCAGGCCACAGCAAGTCCGTGTATTACATTGTTAAAAATGGCTATAACCCATTAATGATGCCCTACCCTATCCTTCCTAGCCATGTTCAATCACAATATCTATCCCAGCCAACTTCCCAAAAACACACAGATAATGCTATCACTGTCATCTCATCGTTCCAGGTATATGGCTATACCTCCTCATCATCTTTCCCGAACCCAAATTTACGCACGCTCCCTAGTCGGATATCCAGTCCCCTCCCTCGCCGGAGCCCGTATAATCTCCACCTCCCGACTCAACAGCTTCCTCAGCGCCGGCGTGACGATCTTTTCTAATATCTCTTTGTCTTCTTCCGCCGTAGCCGTAGTCTTGCCCTTGTTATCCTTGGTCGTAGCTGCTGACGGGGAAGACGCTGTCCTAGGCCCTGATTGAGGCCGAGGCGGCAACGGAGGACTGGATGATTTTGAACCCTCCGCGTCTGCCAGAACGGCTGATACCGATGAGGACGAGGCTGTTGATAACGGCCTTCTGGGGCCGGGAAAGTGATCTTTCCTGTCGATGGCTTCAACTAGGCGGCGGAAGCGCTGGAAGAGGGCTTCGGCGCGGATGAGGGTGGATTCTAGGTCTATTGTGGTGGACAGTTCGTTCACTATGTGTGTGGGGCATCATAATTAGCATACAGTACATAGTTTGGCTAGTGATGATAATGACGAGGAGGGAGATAGGGGAGATGTTCAAACTTACCATACTTCAACACCTCATCAAAGTGTTTCAAATGCGTCATGATCACATCGCGATGTCTCTCCAGAATCGCCAGCGCAATGAACAAGTGGAACCCGCTGCTCAGGTAATCCGTCCACAATGCCTCCCACAGGCGCAAAACATCTGCCCACTCGAACTCACGCTTGTACCACACCAGCAGCATGCGGAAGAAGAAAAAGAAGTTCGTGCTGTCGGCCGACTCGAGATGGGCGTACAGTTTTGGATCCATGAAACGGACCAGGTTGTCCAGCGCCAGGAGCTGTGCCCGCATACCGGACTGGTCGCGAAGGAAGTTGCGCTCCATCCGGTCCATGAAGTGCTGGAACGCCCAGAAGGCGAGGGCATCGTCTTGCAGGACGGCGTAGATGGGGGCGAGCAGGTCGGACATGCCTTGGACGTAGCCCAGACCTTTGTTGTACTCATTGTAGGTCAAAAGCATGTCCTTCAGCTGCTCCATGTGGACGTTGGTTCCTGTGGAGGCAAAGGGGGAGTCGGGGTCGGGGTGGGGGATGTCTTCGCCGGCGAATATTGGGACGTTTCGGTCTGTTCGATGAACATCCTTCTCTGTAAGTAATACTGTGTTAGGAATCTCTGATGTATAAATATAAAAAAAAGACAATAAAAGCTGATGTGTTGGAAAGGAAGCCTTACCGATCCTGTTTCGCTGCTCTCTCCACCACTCACCCTCTTCGCCCTCACCACCCAAATCAACCTGCCGCTCCCACCAGGCGCCCTTGAGCTTGATGTAAGCGTCTCTTAACGATGCCGCTTGTGCCTTGCGCTCGTCTGCCGTGCTGTACCAATCATACACCCCAAGCAAGAACAGCCACGCCTCCTTCCTGACCCCATCCTCAGGATCAAGGCCGCCATGGAAGATCCTTTCTTTCACTTCGTCAACGGTAATACTCAACCTCCCCGTCTCCTCGTCAAAGAAGCCATTCCACTCCTTTAGCGTCAGAACCCTCCTCCTCTCCTCCAGACTCAAGCTATTCGCCCCATCCACTAGCTCAAACTCGCCCACATCCGTATCCTCCAGCTCCATGACATCCCGCGCCGTCCATATCCGCCTATTCCTGTCCCTATCGCTCTGCTCCGCTATACCCATCGCCCACCTTGCCAGGTAAATCCTCGCGCTGTCGAACTCGTCCTGCAACGTCTGCACCTCCGGGTTCCTCAGCAGCCTTCTCATTTGCGGCGGCACACGCGGGTTGTCCAAAACATCGTTGGCCGCTTGGCGGGTAAACGTGGTCACCTTGCTGAACTTCTCCATCAGATTCCAGCCCGCTTCCTTGATCAGCTTGACGAACGGGTCCATGCCGGCGTCCTGGTCCTTAGCATTGGCGCCGCCTGGCCCTCCACGCGAAGATCCCGCCTGTGCCGCCGTATTTGTTGTAGGCTTCCCCCCAAATGCAACACTATCCTCCTTTGACGGCTCGACTAGGTACATATTCGGCTCGGCCCCGCTCCGCTCAATCTGCACGTACCGCCTCAGCCACCGGAGCACTTCATCGCCGCCCCAGAACATCTGACCCGCTTCGCCGAAGGGGTCGAAAGTGTCGGCCGTCCGCTTCTTCTTCTGCAAAATGGTACTCTGGCACTCGCTGTCATGGAAAAAAAGGGCCGGGAAACTGTCGCCACCTCGGCTGTTGATAATGATGCTGCCCCACCACCATCCCACGCTCGGTGGGCGGATCAGCAGGCTGTAGATGGCGCTGACGGGGATGGCGAAGGCATAGGGCCCGACGGAGCCGCGGTGCGTAGTGACGGTTGGCGGAGGAGGGACGAGGTAGGATTGCTTGGGTGGCGAGTCGCCGTCGCAGAGGTCGACTTTCACGTAGAGGTTGGCTGCTTCGCCAAGTTGAGACTCGGGGACCCAGGCGAGGAGGAGGTCCGAGGATGCCGGGGTGTTGCTCGGATCCCGCGAGGAGGAGGAGGCGGGGCGGTCATCGCGGTGTTGGTTTCTTTGTTGGAGAAGCGCGATATAGCCGGGGATGTTATCTTTTGCGGATGGCGTTGGGTGGATGTAGACCTGGGATTCGGTTAGCATTGCGGCGATAGAATAAAGGATACCGACCATTCATGCCTTGCTTTTGGTGTATAGGAGTTTCACCCTCTCCCCATAGAGGTGTGAGTGATGGTGTTATAATCGCCTTCCTCGTCGTCGCTCATGGCATAGTAGCTCCCGGTGGGTGATGAAGGCTGTGGTCTCGAAGTCGGTGCTGGAATCGGGTGCGTTAGTAATACTGTTGCTGGCGCGGCTGTTGCAATGCTTCCTGTTGTCGTTGTGGTTGTACCTGCTGATGTTGATGTTGATGTTGAACTGTCCGTAACGGGTGGGGTTATACTCGACGTCATCTTCTTGATCTGTGTCATGCTGTAGGACTAACAATTGAAAACAGCCATCGACTATACACTGTGCTACAGAAAGTGAGCAGCGGCCTTTCAATAGCCGTCTTGTCGCAGAGAATTGAATGGGATTAGCCGTTCGGAAAGTATATAATCGTGCGCCACTCTTGAAATCAAGTTATTTGTGCAAGGCAAGAAGTGGCAGGTGATGGCAGGGACGGATGTGGTTGGTGTAAGGACTGGAAGTTCCCTAGTAACCGACGAAACGAACGTTGGTGTCACAAGCTTTAATGATCACACGCCCGCTCAGTCTCCCGAATCGACGTAGGTATTTAAACTCTTTCTTCATCAATTGCCAAAGCGCAATGCCCCGCGCTGAGCTGTTATGCGACCGAAGTCCTGCTGCATGTTAGCGCAGCCCGCCGTCGAACACGCTATCGTGAATTCTATGTAGGTAGGTACTACTTGTGTTGTCGTAAGTCAACGAGACGGTCGTCACAGGCCTCGTCACCCTATCAGATATTTACTGGGCAGTAGTACTTCTAGCGCAGTCCAGACAAAAACCGCCACGACAGGGGGTCCCTGAATCCACGACGACCCGGCGACACCTCCACCCCTGCTCCTTTCACCCCCCACTACCACCATGTTCAATGCCTACGTAGTGTACCACCCAGTCTAGTTACTATTACGCGGCCTTTTGCCTCTTGAATATTTAATTGCTTCTTGGAAATATAGTAGGCGCGCGAAATATTCCGGCAGCAAAACCACCAAGCCGGACCCTCCTTCCGAACATACGCGGCTTGTATGCAGTCTTGCATGTGCGTATAAGCATAGTGTGCTTCACTTACACATCAAAACCAAAATGATCTCTCACAAGACGCGCTCTACGCTGGGAGGGTGGGCTCTTCTAGTTGCCACTCGCATCCTTCAGTATCCGCGGTGCCAGATACTCTTTCGCCTTGCTCCAAGCCTTCATATCGTTGGCCGAGATGCCCTGGCCGTCCAACGTCTGCAAACCGGCATACACGGCTTCAAAGAATTCGCACGCAATCTCCAAGTCTTCGCTAAATGCCATAGAGTAAGGCACGAACGCATCGGGGAACGTTGCCAGCCTCTCGGCCTTCTCTTTCTCACTGTTCCAGTTGATCGTCTCGTCAAAGTACGTCTTGACGGCAATTCCGAGAGCGACATCGGGGTTGAAGAGGAAGGGAAGCCTAAATGTCCAAGTCAGCAATTATCATCCAAGATTCGAGAGTAGCAGCACGTGTGAATAGAGGGTCCAACTTACTGGTGGCTGAGCTCCCAGCTATCATCCCTCTTCCTTTGTCCCTGACCGTAGAGGAAAAGAGAAGCCAAAATGGCCTCCATCAAAGCGCGTTCAGCACTCCTAACCTCGCCAGCCAACGAGTGGAACGTCAACAGATTCTTACTCAAAGGACCAGTGTATCCATTAGCTTGGTGTCGCAGCTTAAGCAGTGTCGCACAGCGGCTGATCAGCATCAGACTAGACTTGTCATCGTCATCGCCGTGCATAGGGAGACTCAGAGGTTCCACAACCTTGAGACTGCCGTTGAGAAGTCCAAATCTGACCATCTCCATAGCCACAAGCACCGATTCGTAGAGATAGGGAACCGTAGGAAACTTCTTCACCACTGGCTCCAGCGTGACCATGGCGCGGTCCAAAGCCTTGCCCCAATTAGTCAAGTTGTGCTGGTCGTCGATATAGCCGCGGACATGGAGGTACCTCCATAAACAAATCGACTTGATGATACTCGCCGATTCAACATTCCTCGCCTTGTTCCTTTGCTCCGCGAAAGTAAGCTTGACAAAATCGGGCTTTGTCAAAGCATGCACTTCGGAAAAGATCGATCCATGCTCGAAGCCGGGGAAATGCTGCTTAATATCCGCCTCCTTGATAACTGCCCACGTGGCCATCTGTACTCCGTAGTTGGTCTTGGTCCTAGCTTCATGACGATGGTCGAGCACAGTAGCGGAGTAGTTATCATCATACCAAACCTTCGCCTTGATATCCTTGTACACAATTCCACGGTGCAACCGAGCAAGCACCAAGCTAAGCGCAGTCTCCTCGAGAGGGACGAGTTGGCTCGAGACAAGCTTCTTGTATTCCTCGGTAGCGGAACCGTCCAGAGTCGGCACAACGTATACTTGACTGTGCGTAATCCAGCTCAAGAGGCGAGGCCCGATCAGGCCAGTATTGAGATAGTGGAACATCTCCCAGGGAATTTGGAGGCCTAAATACTCGTGGTTGTCGTTTGTCAGGTGGTCCGCGTCATGAACCTTGACTTCGCCGCTCTCCGCAATATAAACAAAGTGCTTGACAGCCATCCATGCCTTGCGGTACTTGTCCAGCCAGGTAGCATCCTGGTTCTTGATCAAATCGTGAAAAGTAGTGCTGACCATTGTGACCGACTTGTCGGCTGTCCGGAGCATGTTGATGGCATCCACTATGTTGTAAGGCTGGCTCTTGACGAGGGTAGAATCCGTGAGCGGAGGAAACGGAGGAAGGAAGGGAGTGCCGGTCATGAGGAAGGCGTCAATGAAGTGTGGCTCGCTGACGTTGAGCACCTTCATTACGTTCTTTTTGGAGATGGCCGCGCAGGTGTTGCTGGTCCAGTCGATCGAGCGGATGACGCAGTCTTGAATAGGGTAGAGCATCAACTCCAACGGGCCCATGATGCCGCCGCATTGATCAGAGTCGATCATGTCCAGGTATGCGATCTGCGCAGCAGCATTGTAAGGCGCGACCAGAAAGTGAAGTTTTCGCAGCCTCAGCTCCTCTTGGAGCATGGGATATAAAGCCTGGATGTTGTAGAGACCTTGACCCGTAAGCTATTGTCGAACCGTACAAGCCAAGGTATAGACGACTTACTCGCACACTCGCCAAAAGCGGCCACAGCTGCCTCGGCTTGCCCTTCGCTGTAGAGCTTCCACGCAACACCGGTTTGTTTCTGGATTTCCCGGCCAAGCTTCGTGGTGACCTCGTCCTGTCCGACCATAGGTTGGCCATCGAAAATGAAAAAGGGGGTTGTGCGGTTCTTGAGCCAGTTGTCCAATTCAACTTGTATGCGCGCCTGAATGCCGGTGAGGCCTCCGAGAGCGGTCAGTAGCGGTTCGTTATAGTTTTCCGCTTGTTCGAGGAGCTGTCGGAGAAAGTATGACGCGTCGACGGCGATGGCGCATTCCTGCAGCTCGGATACGTTGTAGGATCTACTCGGTAGGCGGTTAGCGAGCGACTCTGAAGGTTCAATGATCAGCACTGGGAGCCAAGGTCAACTTACACTTCCTGGCCCTTGAACCAGGGATCTTCAAAGTTGGCTGGCATGTTGTTAGTATTGGAAGAGACGAAGCAAGCGGCAGCGCGAGCGAGTGGTGGGCTGTAGGTGGGTAGAAGGTGATGGCAAGGGCGGCGAGCGGTGTCTAGCTGGGTCAGGCGGTCCTGGTTCGTGCGGCCTCGAGGTGGAAGGGCGAGAAATGGTTCGGTGGAAAGCGGATAAGTGAGGTGAAATGTAGCTCAAGTTCCGTCCTGAAGGATTGCCAGCAAGATAGTGAAGTGGCAGCACGAAGTCAAAGTATCGGGTGCGAGGAACCTCGAGGGACAAATGTCTGGCGTTGCTTCCACTTTGGATTCGGGCCCGCAATTGGCTAAGCTGTTCGTGGCAGCGGGGAGGTGGACCCCAGCATCTACACTATTTACAGGCGGAGAAAGCATCGACCCTGTAGGGACAAGCAGAGTCGGCACTTCTACCTGGTGTCGCGGGCAGGCAGTCCCAGGGGTACCTCTGCTTGTTGGCAGCGGCAGGTGGTAGAGGTAGGTACCCGTCGCATGTGTCGTGGTGGTCGAGCATGGTTCCGTTCCTTGCTTAGAGCTGGAGGTAGGTACCTCTACGTTTCGTGACCGAAATCTACCATTCCATTCCTTCCATAGCGCGCCAGGGGGGTTTTGGAAAATGATCACCTGTATGATTTTACACTTGTGAGATATGATAATTGTAAAATGATCCTACGATGATATTGGGTGTAAAATATAAGGATTCTATAATTCCACTTATACTATATAGATCAATTTTAAATAAATTATTTATTAAGCCCAAATATTTTTAAAATTAATAATTTTATCTAAATGAGTATTTGCTAATTATATTTAACTTAATGTAAAAAGATGATCTTCCTATCTTAATTATCTTATCTTCCATAATAATTTTGAAATGGGGATTTATCTTTTTACTACTTATTGAATTTAATCAAAAAATCGAATAAAGATATATTTATTTATAACAAATAGGATTATTTTTCTATTAAATTTAAATTTGTATATAATTATCTTCGAAGAATATAACTATTTTGTACTAAATAATAAGTAGAAAAAAAGAAAAAGATATTTAGATACTATAAAACCCTAATAGTAGAGATTTATAATACTTCGTATTTTCTACTTTATTTTTTACAGTTAAGTTTTTTTTTTTTATATAAGACTTTAACTATTTGAAACTTTTCAAATAGAAAAAACTTGCCCTCAACTAAAATCGAACTAAAGATCTTGGAAAAGGTAGTAAGAATAAAAACCATTAAGCCACTAGGCTAAATAATTAAAAAAACATTTGAATTTCTTTACTTATATAAGTAAGTAGAAGCAAAATAATAACTGTAAAATTATCTACTAGTAATATAAAAATATAAAAACTATTTAAAATATTTAAAGTTAATTTATTAAGTAGGGTAAAGTTAGATTATAACTGTAAAATTACCTACTAAATATTTAAAAATAAGAAATTATTCAAAATATTCCAAATTAAAAATAATCCTCAATAATAAAATATCTTATACTTTGGCTAAAACAATTGTTCTTTCCAAAATGAACTTCTTAGTAAAAGATTAACTTAATATAGAAATTAGACTTTGAAAGTTAAAAATTTTTTATACTTAGGAAATAGAATTTATACTAAATTCACCTATAGTATATAAGACTAATTATGAAAAAAACCATAGTAGGAATGATTTTTACAATTATATTATTTTATAAAGAAAACCGCTACTATAAATATAATAATTTCGTTTTTAAGAAGATACTGAGCATTATTTTACAATAAGAAAATAAACCCTCTACGGGAAAACAATCCAATTACATCGAATTGATCCCGCGGATCATTTTTACAGATACCGTGTGCGCGCTATGGTTTCACTGGCCGCATTGCCCGCCCCCCCCCCTCGACTTCGAGGTAGAAGGGAAAAGGACAGAGCATTGAAGGGAACATTGAAATCTGATGATGGAAGAATTGCAGGACTCACCAGGCATCTTGGAAATGTTCCTTCTGGACGCCAATGAGGGATCCCACAATTGGTGAGATTCAAACAATTGAAGTGGTGAGCTGGAGGCTAGGTATGTACTATGCAGTATAGGCGGCACGGGACAGGGTTTGGTGGAGCTTGTCCTCGGGCAGCTCGCAGTCGGAGCTTGCAAGGAAGCGCAGTGAGAAGTTGAGGGCCAAGATGGGCTAGAATTGGGGAATCATGGAGGGGAGAACTTGGGGCCGAAAACAAGTGGAAATGTACTGGCAGATCACCCAAAAGGGACGGATACTGTCAACGGTGATGGGGGGGGGGGGGGACTGACGGGAGGGGAGGAGGTATGCCGGTATGCCATAGGTAGCCCGAGTGCGTGGAGGGTCAGTTCATAGGTACTTGGCAGCTTATCAGCCAGGGTTGGGGTTATACACCTTCGCAGGGGGAAAAAAGGTTAGCGCAGTGAATTTGCAAATCAGTGGGGCATAGGAGGGTGGCAAAGCTGATGGTCCGAGGTATTCCAATGTTACCCTTCTAGTAGTTTTTATAGTAAAGTACCTAAATTTAGTAAATAGGACATCTAGGAGCCGGGGGAAGCATTCTATTTCTCATTACTATTTTTTATTTTTTCTTGTACTATAGTAACTACCTTTCGAGGTATTGCTATTCCTAACCTTTTAAACCCTTTAATACTATTGCTACCCTCAATACTAAAAAAGACGGTATTACGGTACTTAATTAGGGATAAAAGGCTTTAATATTGTATTTTATATTAATATACCCGAATAAACTATACCGATATTATTAAAAAAATAGGGTTTACTATTTGGCAAATACAATTCGCCTGTACTAGGCCTTTTACCCCCTAAAAGCGTAAAAAAAAGAAAGAACTCTTTTTATTACTAATAAAAAAGGAACTTAAAGAGTAAATAAAAGAAAAGCGCTTTCGGAGGTTTATTTCTTAGTATAACCTTCCTCTCTATTTACCTCCCTATTTCTCTATTAGATTTAGAATTCTAAGGATAATACTTCACTCCTTAGGCTTTCAACGAAAACTAAAAGCTAAAAGAATAAGAAGGAATACTGCTAATAAAAGAGAAAGAGTTCAATAGTACTAAGAAATAAGAAGGCTTTGCCCTTGTTTAGAAGATTGGGAGGATATCCTTAATTCTAATAAGACTTGGGCAATTAATAATCCGATATAAAAATAATAGGTAACTTTAAATAAAAATAATAATTTAAATAACTTTATTCTTACTAAGAAAAAGCCCTATAACTGGATATTCTAGGGATTTTTTACTGGAAGGAGAAAAGAGTCTTATTTCTTTTGGGAAAAGGAGTTTAGCGGAATTATAGTTCAAAAGTATATCTTTTTCATCCTTCTAATAGTAGTAGTTTTTTACCGGGAATATTCCCTTATTTTCTAATATAATAATGCTCCTTTTTATTCTATAAAGGAAACTTAGAGAGTATTGGAGTTAATGGGAATCCCTAGGTTTAGTAAGAGGAGGTTTCTAGCTTACTCTCCGGATTTGGTACTAATTGAGAATGTTTAGTATTGGATGAAGTCACTTATTGAGGTTAAATATAATATTTAATCTCTCAACCTATTATAGTTTAGAGTAGTTGTTTAAGAAGCGTGGGATTTCGTTCCGGAAGAATTTTTACTAAAGTTAGTTTATTTAATGCCGGAAAGGATAGAAAAGATTATTGAGGCAAATAGAAATAGTATTAATTATTAGATAAAATAATAGATAAGAAGATAAGTTACAATAAATGCAGTTCTTTTTCATATTAATACCCTGGTCTATTGTACTGCCTTAGTGGCTTGGCTGGCGGCTTGGCTGTACCAAGCTAACCTTTTTTCCCCCTGCGGAGGTGTAACGGACGATGGAAAGAACGGTCTCGACGCCGTGGACCTTCCCTTGTACTGTGTAGATGACCGTGCCTCTGGGTTCGGTCGGTTCGTCCCACACTAGGCAGGATCCAGGTGAGAGATCTAGCAACTGAACAAAGTAGACGGATAAATAGGTGCCTTTGTAGGTAGAGGTACCTACGACTACCCATAATATGCAATATACGTCAATTGCAGTGAAGGAGCGGATGGAACTTGGCGTCCGGGTTCTTCGATCGCTGCCACAGGGGCAGTTGCCCGACCTCTCACCCATCCCAAAACTTTGAGTCACTTGAACCAAGAACGTCCCTCTCCTCGCCAAAGTTGGTTGAGGGACACATAAGGTGAATAACGAAAAGTGGTCAAGACATTCATCTTGCGCCAATCTTTTGTTCTTTACTACAGATCATGGCCGATAATGCGAAGCGGTCACCTCAGATTGAGGCTGGAGGACTTCGAACTTGGTCCCAGGAACCTTCATGTCAAAAAGCAGCACAGGCAGACGGGATCACCCGAATCCCAGAACTCTTGGACCGCTTGGGTGTTAATGCCGCAACAGGGATTTGTTCGACCGAGTTGGAGAAGTGTTAGCAAACCTTGCTTGCCATCATGATACGCTACAGCTCGGCCGCTCAACGCAAGATAGCCTAGGCGTTGTGACTGAGCACACCTCACATCGGCTTTCCTGTGGGCTTGCTTTAACGCAGAGGTACAGTAACGTGTCCTGGCAATAGGCACTCACAGTTTCAAATTCCTTGCAGAGGTTGCTGTTTCGGCGTGCTTTGCCCGGCTCGATGACCCTGCAGGGAGTAGGTGACTACGACAGTTGGCCGTTCCGGTCATGATGCTGGACAGGAGTACCTACCCGTCAGTTCAGTTCAATGCGCTGGGCGGCAGGAGTCATGGTAGTGGTAAACAAGGAAGTCATGCCCGGTGTCACTTTGATCATTGCATCAGCCATGACCGAGCGGGTAGCTCCGCCGATTCGATCTTCGACCCGTGCCGTAACGGCCGAGCGGTAAGTACGTCTAACCGTTCCATGCAAGACGCGGCGGACGGTACAGTACGTATCTCTACATAAACTGCAACGGAGGGGCCCGCAATCGCACCGGCCCGGGGCTCTTTCCGGTACTCGGTCACAGCTAAGTATTTCGGGTTGTTCGCGCATAGCGGTCGCCCTGATAGTGCACTAACAGCTCGCAGCCAGCCTTGAGAGGGAGCTGGCTCAAATCCATACTTTGCAATGCATTTATCCACCAAATAGAGGATGATGGCGTAGCAATGACACTCGTCTGCCAATCAGATGGCCATCGCATAGCACTAATTTCAACGGGGTAGCATCCGCCTGGCTGGAAGTTTCCAACAGTTGGCAACCTTGGTGGTTCCGCGGGTTTTAGCTCACCACTGGATGGCAACTTGTAATTATCACGGGCGCAATGGAAGCCTCACCCTGGTCTCAGGCTTTTGTTCTGGCGCGAACTAGTGAAAGCTCGTCACGCTTTCTGATTGTGCCTCAAGGGGGCAGACCTTGAAATAAATTGGAGCGACACGGGAAGAATCTGGACGAACATAATATGGAAGACAGGAGATGGGCGCAGTAGCTAACGAAAGATGATCTGTGGACATGCATCTCATCTTGCCCGAAAGGCAAGCAGGGCTGGGTGAATTGTCCGCTCGGGATCAGCGTTTGTTCTTCGACTCGCTTCTCATCGTGGATCCCGACAGGCAGGCGGGCAGGCATTCCAATTAAACATTTGACGCAGACTTATATTCCCAGTTTCCAGCATATGTACGTAGTGTACACACGAGCTACATATCCTACGCGACTGTAGCAGCCAGTGATGGCCGTCAAGACTCAAGAGTGGCGATAGGATCAAAGTCTCGACGGTTCTCTCGAACAAGCACTTGTCGAGCCGTAGCCCCATTTTTTTCTTCTTACCACTATATTACCCCGTACTTTTTAGGTCAGAAAAATTGCATGAATTCCACTTCTCACGGCATCCACCGATGACATCCACTCCGCACCGACAGGAACCGCGAGAGGAAACAAATGAACTGTATGGGACCAAACGGACGGGTAACCACGTTTTCCCTGGTGGTTGAAAACGAAACCGCTAAAACCCGATATCCAACACCGTATAGGTCCGTCGAGCTGAAAGCTGCGGTGCCTGCATAGACCCATAATTCTCTTCAGTTGCAGACCTCATTCACCCCGAAAAAGGACCCTTGATACATGGTCTCACATTGAGCTGGACGCTCACTTGTCAACCCCTTGCACCGCCTTTGCACCGCTTGCTGCTGCTGGAGCCATCCCGACTTGTTGCCAGGCAAGCCAAGCACCCCAAGGTGCACGAGAGGCTCTAGGACCGGGCCATTCAAAAGGAGGCAAAAAGATCTACGATCCTATGGTGCCATCCACCCAAGCACACTATCCAATCCGTACAATCCACCCACTGACCGCCGTCGAGCGACAAGTCAACGAGATCACCAACCTGCGACAAAAGGCCAACGAAGACGCGCACTAATCGAACATCGCCGTCGGAAGTATAACCCATTACCCAGTAGGAACTGGCAATTGTAGCTGGAATTGCGGTTGGCGCCACCCGATCAACCCGGTCCAGGGATTGGAGTGCAGTTGTTTTTTTTTTGCTGCTCGTCAAACATCGCTTGCCCCGTTTTATCGTCGATGCCGATTCCGAATTGAGACTCCCCTCCGCCCCCGTCGGTTGCTGCCCCCGTCGCTGCCACCGACCCTCGTCGCCTTTTGAACACCAGCCTCCCGCAAGTCCTCCTGACCCCGTCCGTCTCTCCATCCTCCCACGCCAGCCAGCAAGTTCTGTCTCCGTTCGTACATTATTCTTCACTTACAAACTTCGATCCACTTGGTCGTCTTCCCGACGTCAAATTCTGCAATACAATAAACCTACCTACATACATAGCCTTCGCCCGCCTTGACTCCAACCGGGAGAGCGGCCGCGGCGTCTGTAGGCGCTGCAGATGATATATTCGCATGATGGCTACCGTTTCCCGGACTGCAACTGCCTTGACGACGCCGCCAGCCACATCCCACGGCAACAAGTTCACGTGGGACAGCGCGTCGGTGCCCGTCCATTCGGAGGTGAGTCCATGAGTCCATCATGATGTCCTGGTAATTCGGGAGATTACACGCAATATCCCCTGTTCCCCGCATCTCGTTTTACAAATTCTTATTCCTTATTAACTCCCTGCCCCGGAAACACCATGTGCCTGAGGCCTTCGTCGTGCTCCTGAGCATCGAGGCTGCCTGCGTGCATCTCGCCCATCTATCCGTTCTTTCCTTCTACCTATCCTCGTGCCCACCCTGCCCTGCCCTGGTGCCTGCTTAGGTTGGCTCCAAGGAGGCATCCACTCACGCGCCATTGCCCATTGCCATCGCCATCGCCGTTTCCATCGCATTTCATCCTCCATTTTCTTCCACTGACATTCTCTTTTTCCTCCTTCCTCTTCTAGAAGCCTGTCAATCCCCAGAGATCTTCCATCAACAATGAGAACGGCTACCCCTTTGGCCGCCCTGTCCTAGCTTCTCAAAAGAGGAATTCGACTCTGCTTGCCACTCACAACACACCACCCATGGACCCGCTCACACACGACCACTATACCGGGGATGTCGCCGACGATGCCAGGTTTACTCGAAGCACCAGGGACGGGGGGAGTCCCGCCGATAGTTTGTTCGACCCGGAAACCGACGAGAGCAAATGGATTCACCGCGACAAGCTCGCCCAGATTGAGAACGAGGAACTACAGGCTGCGGGTTTCGTCTTGCCGGTAGCGAGAGACAACAGGGCACGGTCGAAAAGCGGAAACCGTTTGAAGAGGGATCAAAGCCAGGATAAGCTTAGCGGTCAGGCTAGATCCATTGGCGGCGGTGAGCACGTCGGCTCGAGGTCTAGAAAGAACTCGTCGGCCACGCAGGACTGGGACAAGCGCGCCGATGATGGTGCTGAGCACGCTGATTCTACGTCGAACCCCGGCGCCAAAGTAACATCCCGGATACCTGTGCCGAGAACCAAGGCTTACCCAACAACGCCAACTGATGAGAAGGCGGCTGCCTTTGGGCGGAAACGCGATAGCAGTCCTGAGGAGGATAAGGAAAAGATAGCCTATCCGAAACCACGAGGACGCAGCGGCAGTACAGGGAACGCCCTTACCAAAGCGGCCAATGGATCCGACGCTCGGCCTGTAGCTAAGCGGGCCGACACCTCCCCCATGAAGAGCAAGCCGGCTGCGGGAGCCAAGAAGGTTTCCGGCAAGGCTGCGACTGCCACAACGGCGCGACCGCGAACACGAGGTGCATCCGCCAAGGATTCAACAGGTGCTCGGCCAACGACGCGTTCTGGTGACCGAGAACTCTCGCCCACAACGCACAAGCCGATGGAAGGCGAACCACCCTGGATGGTTTCGGCATTCCGCCCCGACCCCCGTCTACCACCAGAGCAACAACTGCTACCAACGGTGGCCAAGCGGTTACAACAGGAGAAGTGGGAGCGGGAGGGCAAGGTTGGCAACGTCTACGACAAGGAGTTTAGGCCACTCACAGACGAAGGCTTCCTCGAGCCACCCGAGCATCCCATCGTTGCGCCTGAACATGAACCGGCGGAGAACGAGAACGAGAAGGAGGAAGAACATGAGAAGGAAAACGAAAAGGAACAGCCGCAGGCAGACTGGCCCTTAAAACCCGCCGAGCCTCAATGTCCTCAGAGTCCACCTCCTCCGAGTCTCCATAGCCTTCAGAGCCCCCGGAGCCCAGCTCCCGTTGGTCGGACCAACTCATACTCGACAATGCCCAAGATTGCGGACAAGCCGATTCTGACCAAGTCCCCCAGCCCGAAGAACCCCCCACAGCGTCCTCACCCATCAGAGGTGATCAGGGTACCAGAGCCTCCCGAGGATCCGCCTCAGAAGAAGGAGAAGGGAGGATGCGGATGCTGTATAGTTATGTGAGCGCTAGGCTCCAGAACTTGGGCATCCATACTCGCCTGTCCAGTCAACCGACAACTTATCAAATCCATCAATCACCAATATGACCTTTGGTCCCTTATATCGTCGTCCGCCACCATCAAGCCGTGACTCTGCTATCATTGGCTTTCTGGTAGTCCTTGAGCACTACCCTGATTAATGACGAAATGAGTTCCTTTTTCTTATATTCAAGTCTGGCACACTCAATTCTGCTTTTGTATCTACACTCATCACAACCACGCGCACACGCACATACCCCCCCCCTTGCTTGATTGTCTGCTACTTTTTGCAGCGTTCCCTCATTCGTTTCCTTTGTCCTCAGTATTCTTTTTTTCAGAGCTTCCTGCGCCAGACTGCTCGTTGCTGTCAGCATGCTCCCGATCTTTAGCCTTGTCTCCGACCCGAGTCTTATATCAAAGGGTGCAATGGTCAGCAGCATTGTGACCTAACGAAAACTGGAGCTTCTCAACCATGGCGACGGTTCTTCTAGCGAAGCAAGAAGCAAGGGTTATTTCTCAAAACGGTGGACGGACAGTCACAAAACTTGGGAGGGAACTCCCCTGTTTGGTTTTCGACGACAAACCGAACCAAGATCAAATCATTTCTCCTGCCGTGCCAAGTCGGGAGCAAAAGCTGAACGAATCTTCTGGAAAAGGGGAATTCTGTTCGGCAAACGGGAGTCAATCCCTGACGTGGATTGAGAGAAGATCTAAACCGGCAACCGAGCAAGGAGAGCGAGGGAGACAGAGAGGGGGAAAGGAGTAGGAAGACTTGAAAGAAATATTGGGGTTCAAGGGACAAAAGAAGGAAGGAAGGCGAACACCAAAACAACCCCCCCGGTTATAATACCATCTTATCTTAATTCCCACGATCCTCTTGTACATGGTCTGGTTTTCTCTCCCGTCTTTTCATCAGTCGTCGAGATCATCATCCATCCATATTACGCATTACTACTACAAGTCGAACTAGTCAGTCAACCCAGAACTAAACATACTACTTGGTTTATCCTCCCACAACCAAAATTGGCTTTTTCAAAGTTTGTGTTTTCTGTTTGGCTTAGGTGTTTTGTTGTTTCAGCCTGCATTATCTGTATCTCTGTTTTTCCGTTTGTGGTTACTTGCTTGTTTTATTTTGCGTCGTCTGCTTTTACTGTCTCGGTCAAGTTATGCTTTTTTCTACAAAATGGGGCAGAACGCGCGGAGTTTTTTTTTTTTTTTTTATTTGGTTTATCTTCCGAGAGAGATCGATCGAATGGTGCGGGCGTTTTTTCCTTTCCTTTCGAGGTCTTTTCCTTGTTTTCTTTGTTTGTCGCTACATGTACGCACGGCATGCACACGCAATATTTAAGAGAGGAGAGGTGGATGGATTAACCAAGATAACCGTCGCGAGGCGGTTTGAAGGGGATAGATACAATGGATGAAATCGAAGCAATGGGGGCGAGGCAAGTCAGGATGACTAGGATAGAAAGTAGGAGAGGAGGCAAAGAAGAGAGTCAGTCTCTCTGTCTTCTCTATCAGCTCACTACCTAGTAGCTAGTCGTTCTGTTGACGAGAACAATAAAGGGATTTTTAGCATACCTTTACTTCACTGTGTACCCTACATGATAATGTGTTGGAGGCTGGAAAAGCGACAACGAAAAGGCTTGATTCTGGAGTTGTCTAAAGGAAGAGGGAAAACGGAAACCAGGGCAGCCTAAATACCCAGGAAGGGAGTGCCAGTGAATAGGCAAGGCCCAGGGCACGGACTTCCAACATAATGAGTGAGCTTGGTAACACATTACTGTTAGGTTATAGCTAATAGCCAGACAAATACTCCAGTACTGGCGTTATTAGCTATGATCTCTCCATAATATGGGTTTAATGTGTAAAGAAGCAATGGGGTTGAATACTATCACTGGCGTAGCTAACTATTCGTGAGAGGTACTGGAATTGGATGAAGGTTGAAGAAGCTATGCAGAAACTATGCTCAAAAATGACTTCTAACCTCTCCACCATCACTGCCTATCCACAGCACTCCAGTCAGTGACACTTTTACCACAGTTGAGTAATATTATCACCACCCTCCTACCTGTTTTTGTCCAGACTGCCCACTACGTACCACCAAGCCTCCGTCTCCATCCTCCGCAGGTCAAGTTCGACCTGACTCCGTGTGCTTGGTTAGTTAGGACCTCAAGTGCCTTCAGATATGGAGATGCTTACTTCCGGGAAAATCACGCATGTAGTGAAGGACCAAGATGAGCACGGAACGGGATGTCACACGAAATACGAAGAAGCTACCCCCTACAATAAGTGCTACCTATGTAGATCCGTAAGCCGCCACAAAAAGAGAGCATACTACTTGATGAGCGTGCACAATTTGTGAATTGGAGTTTAGTTGATACAACCATACTTCAGTCATATGTATTTTTGAACATGGTAAATATTCTTGTTTCTGCGTAAGAACGTAGCTTCGTAGCTTCACCTTCTCGCTAAAGGAAGAAGTCAGGTTTCAACCATACGCTTAGACGCCAGCCAGCCAGCCAGCCAGCCACAACAGACCCGCGACATCAAAGGTTAACAGAGCAAACAAAAATCCGGGGATATCTTGAAGAAACCCTCCCTCCTCCTCTCCAGAGCCCGCCGATATCGCCCAAAACCGGTAGACAACCATCCGGCTCAGACAGGCAGACAGACAGGCCTGTAATCTCATCAACATGATCATGGGTCTTGAGTACAACCGACTTCCACATCTTAGTCCACGGTTCATACATATATCGGGACTCTTACCGGCTCTTTCGCTGCCGCGGCGATCCTCCTCTTGCCTTTGTGTCGACATATTTCTCCCATATCATAAACAAATTACCAATCATCAACATCCCCATCCCACTGATCTCCCACATCCGCCCATCCACACCCCCACCTCCTCCCGCCCGTCTCACCACCGGTTCTCAAATCCGCCGCCTCCTCGCGACCCTCGCGCCAGCATCTCACGAGATAATCATCGCTGGCCGTCACCAAGCTGCCATCCAGCGTCCACGTAAGCGCGCCCACTTCCTTCTCGTGTCCGCGCACGAGCGGCGTGCCGCGGCGAATGATGGGTGTGTTTGATGACTGATGATGACCGCCCTTGATGCCAAACAAGCTTGCCGAGGAGCTAGTTCCCGGCCGTCCTCCTCCTCCTGACGAAGAAGACATGGACATCAGTGATGACGAAGGCAGAAGGGAAGTGGTAGCGCTGCGGGTAAGGCGTGGACGAGCAGGTGTGACGGGGATGCAAGAGGTGGGTTCGCCGACGAGGTACGACTCGTCGTCTTCTTGGTTCGGGTGCTGGCGCTGCCAGGCAAAGGCTTCCTTGATGTAGCGCTCGTCGGTGGGGAAGAGGACGGCGGCGCCATCGCTGCTGCCGACGGCCAGGAGCTCCGAGTGACCGTTCTTAGCGGGCCGGATGGCGGATTTCACGTAGAAGCTGGTTGCGTGGAAGAGCGGGTGGCGGAAGCCGTAAAGCGGACCGAGACCCTCATGTGCGGTGCCGTGGTTGTGGTGCCGGCGGCGCGGGGGTTCTTCGCCGGGACGGGCGGCGGTGAGCTCGACGGCGTGGCCGAGGACGAGGTGGGCGGTGCTGTAGGCGTAGACGGTGTTGTCTTTGCAGAGGGTGTAGAGGCGGGAGCCATCGCCGCCGAGGGCCATGGAGGAAATGCCAAAGGGGCGCCAGTTGGCGTGGCTGGGCAGGGGTGCTGTGAAGGAGACGGGTGTGCTGTACTTGTGGTGGCGGCTGGTGTGCACGGCGCGGATGTCCCAGAGCTTGACGCTGGCATCGGCTTCGCAGGCAGTGAGGAAGAGGTGTTCCCTGCCAGGAGGAAGGAACTGCAGAGCCGTGACGGAGACTTCACCAAGGCGACCAGGTACCTCGCCTATTCGGGCCACGTCGACGTTACTGGCACCGGGTAGCAGATTGCGAGCCTGTTTCTGGGGAATGCGTGAGTGGGCATCATAGATGCTGTTAACAACGCAACCAGGGTTAGGGGTGCGAGGGAGACGAGCGTGAAGGCCAGCTTCTGAGCGGATAGCAACGTCTTGCACAGGACCGCCTCGGCAACGGAGATCCCAAATCTGTACGCTGCCATCTCTACTAGTTGTGGCAAGGACAGAATTGGCGCCGCGGCCCGGCTGAAAACGGACTTGTTTGAGGGATGCGGTGTGGTGGCCGAGGATCGAAATGGGCTGCTGCGTTACAAAGTCCAATACCTTGCCTGTTTGGTCACCAGAAGCTGTGGCAAGAAGCAAGTCATCGTCGGAGAAGGCCATGTCAATGATGGCGTTGCCATGCGCCTGGAACGACATGTTGATCTGAGAGAACTCATTCTGGGTGTCCAACAAACGTACATACCCTTCTTCGTCACCTACAGCAACAAGACTCTTGGCTTTAGGGTGGTCAGCAAACGGAGTTATCGGCTAACGAATACATGCTGACTTACTATTGCAGCTTGTGGTGCAGAATGGGATGCTGCGAGGATGTCCTTCGTGGCTGTTCATAAAATGGGCGTCTTCTCGGCGACTATAAAAGTCTGCCGTTTCCGACCGCCAGTCTGTTTACCGAGTCAGCTTAGGCTCGAGAAAGATGCAAAGATATATCACCACATACCAGAAACTGGGAATGACAAAAACCTGTTTCCGGCACCAGGCATACCACCCGTCACTCTCTGCACCAGTTGAGCTCCCAATCCACGACGATCCAACTGTATAGGAGCACGGTTTGGCCGACGCCGAGTTGTTGGCAACTCTTGCTCATCATCATCATCACTTTCTTCCGACTCAGCCTCATCTCCATCGAGGGCCAATTGGGATGGCAGCTTCCGAATAGAATGGATAGGACTGCCGAGACGATCGTGCTTCAACTCGGGAGTTGGAAGTAACGCTGGGGATGTGGCTGCAGGTGAGGGTAGGTGGGATACATGCGACGCCTCAGCCCTCTTGGGTGTTGAAGCATGAGTGATCTTTCGACGCTTGGAGCTTCTCTGGCCATCCTGAAGGCTCGGTAACACATCTGGGATTTCCTCTTCCGAGATGGGCCTGAGAGGACTGGATGGAGTATGGGATCGTTCTAGGAGAGGACCGGCTAGATCACGAAGAGCCCTTTGGGAAGCGCTGGGGTGGTTATTCGCTATGACTCGGGGAGTAAAGAAGCGCCTGAATTTCCGGGGGGTGATGGACGGGTTTCGACGTTCCTTGGCTGAGCTTCGCGGAGGAGGAGAGGATGGAATGGGGGGGATGTTGTTGGTGGTGTTCAACGACGACGAGCTCTTAACTCCCAAAGGGGTTGAAGTGCTGATAGAGTTATCGGCCATGGCGAAAGGATTCTCTTCGACTACCAGAGCGAAGAGCTGGGTCCAGGCCGCTTATGCAACACGATACCTAGAGACGAGGTACACGGGGCCGGCGACGCTGGATGCGCGCGACCTGGCAGCGAGGGGCCGCCGATGGGAAGGGTACGCGGAGACAGAGAACAGGCTGTGGTGGTGGATATTTGGACAAGATCAGTTGAGCCGCAGCTGGTGCAGAGGTGTTGCTGGCAAGTGTCGACTGGATGTTGGATAAGGGCTGACGTCGAAGTTGCAGGCTAGGCTGTGTGAAGCAAGCAGGCTGAGCTTGAAGAAGGACGGGAGGTCAAGGTCGTCGTTGAGAGACAAGGTAGGCGGCCGGGGGGGCGTAAGGTATTGGCGCCGAGTTTATTGGTTGGCGGATTTGGTCGTGGTATGGATCCTCTGAGTGAAGTGGTGCGACCGGAAGGGGTGTGTCTATGTCGGTGTCTGGTGTAAGTGTGTCCTTGATACTTGAAATTGGATGCGTGTAGGTGAAGATGATGGAATTGGATTTGGTTCAGTTGTTCGTTTCTATTGTGGATTTGCGTGCTTCAGTTCCTCCTACGCTTTTGCTGGGTTTCCACTTGAGTTTGCCGGGCAACCAAATCGACAGCCATGGAAACCTGACCTGACCACCCACCCATGGACTCCATTGAACACCTCCTCCAGTGGGCAGAGGCTGGGCGTGCGGTCCGCAGCGGCCGGGGGGTCGGGGGGCGCCTAGAAGGAATGCGGTTTAGTGCTCCATCAGGGGAACGCGAAGACGCGGGAACAAACGACGCGCTGGATCGCGAAAGCTTAATGGCTTTTTCGTCCCATAAATCGCGGTTGCTGAAGACATGAAGATTGGTCAATGCACTGCACTTCAACCGCGGGATGTCTGACCCACCCTGATGGGGCCCGTCTTGCTTGTTGCCCCACCAGCCGCCGGAGTCCAGTCTCTTATCGCTTATCGCCCTGCAGCTGTCATCCAAAAAAATCATTCTGCAACGACGACCCTGCAATCCCTGCGCTGCGAGTGCTGGAGGGAAGAAGTCAAAGGGCACCCGGACTGCCATTTTCACCCAACCAAAAAGTCACCAGGTCGTCCTGCTCAACAACATCAGTCGGACACACCCCCCGACTTAGAGCACCGGCACCATGGCGATTCAAAAGAAACACGGCAAGGGCCGTCTTGACAAGTGGTACAAGCTTGCCAAGGAGAAGGGTTATCGTGCCCGTGCCGCCTTCAAGCTGATCCAGCTCAACAAGAAGTATGGCTTCCTCGAGAAGAGCAAGGTCGCTCTCGATCTTTGCGCTGCGCCCGGTGTAAGTCATAGTCGTGAACATCCAGATCATCATGGAGTGAACTAACCATGTCTGTGTCCGTCCCTAGTCGTGGTGTCAAGTCTGCGCCGAGACTATGCCGACAAACTCCATCATCATCGGTGTCGATCTTGCTCCCATCAAGCCCATCCCCAAGGTCATTACCTTCCAAAGCGATATCACGACCGAAAAGTGTCGCGCAACCATCCGCTCCCATCTCAAGACATGGAAGGCCGACGTCGTTCTCCACGATGGTGCGCCCAACGTCGGTACTGCTTGGGTTCAGGATTCGTACAACCAGGCCGAACTTGCCCTGCACTCGCTAAAGCTGGCCACCGAGTTCCTTATTGAGGGCGGTACGTTCGTCACCAAGGTGTTCAGATCCAAGGACTACAACTCCCTTCTCTGGGTTTGCAACCAGCTTTTCGCCAAGGTCGAGGCTACCAAGCCCCCTTCGTCCCGTAACGTCTCCGCCGAAATCTTCGTCGTCTGCCGCGGCTTCAAGGCCCCCAAGCGCATTGACCCCAAGCTTCTCGACCCCCGCTCCGTTTTCGAGGATGTGGCTGGCCCCGCCCCCAACAACGAAGCCAAGGTGTACAACCCCGAAGTCAAGAAGAGAAAGAGAGAGGGTTATGAGGAGGGAGACTACACCCAGTTCAAGGAGATCTCTGCCAGCGAGTTCATCAACACTGTCGATCCCATCGCCATTCTCGGCCAGTACAACAAACTCAGCTTTGAGCAACCCAAGAACGGCGACGTAGCATTGGCTGCTCTCGACAAGCTCCCCGAAACGACCGAAGAAATCCGTCTCTGCTGCGCCGATCTCAAAGTGCTCGGCAGGAAAGAGTTCAAGCTTCTCTTGAAATGGCGTCTAAAAGTACGAGAGATCTTCGGCTTCCCCTCCAAGAAGACCCAGAAGGCGGCTGTGGACGAGGAGGTTGCGGTAGTGGAGAACATGGATGAGGAGCTTAGGATTCAGGAGGAGCTGCAAAGAATCAAGGAGAAGGAGACCTCCAAGAAGAAGCGCGAGAGGAGGCGCGAGAATGAGAAGAAGCAAAAGGAGATTGTCCGTATGCAGATGAACATGACTGCGCCCATGGATATTGGTATGGAGCAGGAAGGTCCCCGTGGTGAGGGTGCCATGTTCCGTCTCAAGACTATCGACCAGAACGCTGCCCTGAATAAGATCGCCAAGGGCAAGATGGCCGTTATCAAAGAGGCCGAGAAACCGAAGGATTACGACTTTGGCTCCGACGGCGAAACCGACGAGAGCGACGAGGAAGCCGATCGTCTGGAGGAAGAGCTCGACAACCTGTATGATCAGTATCGGGAGCGGAAGGCGGCGGCCGATGCCAAGTACCGTGCCAAGAAGGCCAGGAAAGAGAACGGCGACGATGAATGGGAGGGCGTATCTGGCGATGAGGAGAAGGGTAGCGACGATGACGATGAGGAACTAGAAGTGGACAGCAGTGATGATGATTCCGACTCAGAGGATGGTGAATCTGGCAAGAAGCTTATAACAGATCTAGACGGCCAGCCAGAAGAGAAGGATGGTTTGTCTAAGCGGGCCAAGAACTTCTTCAGTCAAGGTATCTTTGCGGAAATACCAGGACTTTTGGAGGAGCCAGAATCTGAGGAGGAGGAGGCTCAGGAGGCTGAGCTTGTTGAGGCTGTGGAGGACCTCAAAGTTACTAAGAAGGAGAAGAAGGAGGCCAAGGAAACCAAGGCCAAGAGCAAGAAGGCGGCCGAGGAGAGCGATGACGACGAAGATTTCGAGGTTGTCAAGAACAACGAGGATGATGACTGGGAGAACGTTGAGAAGAAGAAGAAGAACGGCAGGCCTGGTAGGTTTCACTCAGTCCCTCTTCAACATAACCTGGTAAGGGCAATGGCTGACTATGACAACTACAGACATCGACATCATCACCGCCGAGGCCATGACCCTCGCCCACCAGCTCGCGACCGGCGAGAAGACAAGTTACGACGTCATCGACGACGGTTACACCAAGCACGCCTTCAAGGACCGCGACGGTCTTCCCGACTGGTTCCTTGACGACGAGTCCAAGCACGACAAGCCGCACAAGCCCATCACCAAGGCCGCGGCGCAGGCCATTAAGGAGAAGCTCCGGGCCTACAACGCCCGTCCTATCAAGAAGGTGGCCGAGGCCAAGGCCAGGAAGAAGTTTAAGCAGGCCCAGAGACTGGAGAAGCTCAAGAAGAAGGCCGACATGCTTGCCGGTGACGATGGCATGTCAGAAAAGGAAAAGGCTGCTAGCATTTCGAAGCTCATGGCGTCGGTTGCTAAGAAGACGAGGAGGGCGCCTATCAAGGTTGTCAAGGCTGCTGGTTCCAACAAGGGTCTCCAGGGCAGACCTAAAGGAGGTTCGTACTATCACTTCCTTGAGGTCTCGTGTGGTCTTTATGTTGGAATGATGCTAACTCGGTCTTTTCACTCTTATAGTCAAGGGCAGGTACAAGATGGTGGATCCTCGTATGAAGAAGGAGTTGAGGGCGATGAAGAGGATTTCCAAGAAGAAATAGACGTCGTGTCCAGCAGCAGTATAGTTTGTGGAAGTTTTAATTGCGATACCTTTTTACCTGTTCATATCGTTGTAGAAGACGGTTGTTGTGACAAGACAGATCTTGTTATGGTTGTACATCAAAGGTGGATTGAATGGTCAATAAGCAGAGCAGCACTGTTAAAAGCTTTCAAGACGTCGTTTACTTGGGTCCAAGGTTCTTGGACTTCCTGCTGCCGCCGAGGTCGCCACCCTGCCGGCGCGCCCTTCCCGTCCTGAGATATCGGATGACATGACACCCGGGCCCAGGCAGCAGAGTAGCATATAAGGTCCGTCACATAGCCCCTCTATCACAACGAGCTCTGTGGTCTTATGGCGCAGTGGTCCTCATTGATGAAAACATTGCCGGATGCGCGGTACCCGAGGTACAGTTTTCGTAGGTTGCAGCTGGAGCATTGTTGTTCGTTCCACAAGCTTACCCGGGCAACTTGGCTTTGTTGACATTTTTGTTAAATCGGGGAATTGTCGATGATATCAAAGATGTTAAACTTGGAGTTTTGCGTTTGCGGATTTGGAGTTGTATGAAATTGAAAGGAGCAGAACTTCAATTCCGCACGTAATTCTGACTGTACGCACCACTTAGAGGTACCCTTTAAAATTTCTGACGAAAGTGTGAAGAGCGCTTGAACGGTAATGAGTGTCCAATTTCTAACTGGAGAAGTTTTTTCTTACGTTTGTTCATTATACTCCGTTACAATCATATAGCTGGTTTGCAAGGGAGGACTCTATCCAAAACGTCCTCATTTGTGCGAGTGTCGGTTCCAGTCGCGGCGTCGACTAAGCTTGGAATAGCTCATCAAGAAGAAATCGTTGAGACTTATAAAATGGCCTCATGGAAACGGAAAGCAGGGATCGCGTCTTCGAAACATCTCAGCTGTTGTAGATGGTGGTATCAGAGAGAGAGAGAAAGTCGTGCGAGTCTTAATGGAGGGTGCGCTGAAGTCAAAGCTAATTGCATGTAGTCGTAAAACACCCCGGTGAAAGAAGTCTGGCGAATGGAAAGAGAAAAAGGAGAGATGAAAAGACTGTTTGCGAGGCACCATGGAAGATAGATGGATGAATAAAAGTCAGATTTGAGATACGAGTATATTGCATCTATTTTTTATGATCTCTTTTGTCGTCTCATGGCAACTCTTCAATCTTTTTGTTATGCTGTTGTTGCTGCTGCTGATTGACCGCTCTCACAAAGGATGTAAACGGGTACAGAGGCCCGGTGAAGTCCATGTCGTACCTAGGTAGGTGTTGTGCGGTGGTTAGTACATATACGTTTGCAAGAAACGAGCCAGCCTGGCCCTGAAGAGGAGATAGAGAAAGAGTGAATAAACTCACCAATAGTTCACAGCAACGCAAATCCCTTCTTGCGAGCAAGACTGTGAGACCTTGTGATACCTGCCGTTCATCTTCGTTAGCAACCACTCACTCACTCACTAGCTCTTGCTCACTAGAGGAATGGACCCACCACATAGCAGGCAAATAAAGCATATCCCCCTCCTCCAGCGTCACCCTCATCGGCTCCGCCAGTTTCGAATACCTCGTCGCGTTCTCCTCGGGCTTATCGGGGTCCCAAATTGCGAAAGGGACTGTGACTTCTTTGCCTGTTTCCGAGTCCTTTTCCATTACCAGTTTCAAACCCCCTTTATCACCAATCTCCTCCTCTCCATTCTCATCCCCTTCCCCATCCCCGTTTTCTCCTTTCTGCTTCCTCCTCACATAACCCCCGCTCTCCAATTCTCTCTCATTCACACAAGGCAAACAGTGCGGCGGCAACAGCACAAAGTGTTTCCTCCCCCTGATCTGGACATAGACGTTCTCGTAGTTGTCCTTGTGTAAAGCGGTGGTGGACAAGGAGTTGCCGATCCAGAGGTTGATGGCTTCTGGCTGGGCCTCCTCGTCGGGACCGAGGCGATGGGGATCTGATAAGGCGATGCGCGCCCAGGGGATGGTGGGGGGCACGGCGCTGTAGAGGGAGGAGTATTCTTGTCGAAGGTTGTCGTTTTCTGTTGTTGTTTTTTCTTCCCGTCAGTATTTTTTTTTAAAATTTTTTTTTTTAAATTTTTTATTTTTTTTTGAAAAAAAGAAAGAAGAAAAAAGAAAGAAAAGAATAAGATACCCGTCAGGGTTTGAAGGGCCTTGACTTCGTACATCACCAAAGGGTCATTCGAACTGGGCGATTCACATGAAGCCCTGGAGAGGACGGAGGGTGAGGTTTAAGTGGCTTACGGGTTTGAGCATAGCGAACCTCGGACTTGCGAAGTCCTTGGGTCTTTTCTTGGTGAATCACATAGGTGAGGAAGTCGCTGAAGGACTGGTCTTCTTCGTGAGGTTTGGCGAAGACTAAAGCGCCGGTTTCGGGGTGGACAGTTGGGGCGTCGGCGTTTCTTTTGTGATGTATCAAGATGCGTGAGCTACTATGTTTTTACTTGAAGTTTTCGACGACGACGACGACGATATCTTTGAGAGGCAACATACCCAAAAGGAGTAACGGCAACATTGACCGTCTCATCCCCAAGGAAATTGGAAAGATACTCGGCGGTCCATGTCTGGGTTGCCTTCCAGTTTGCGGCACCGCCTCTTACGACAAAAGGGGTGTTCCTAGCTACGAATCTCATAAACTCGAGCGCACTGGGCTCTTCGTGGAGCTCCTCGATGAAGGAGCTGTTGAGTTCATTGTAGGTGACGATCAGGTCTGCAATAGCATCGCGGTCCCGTTCTTGCTGTTCCCCTCCCATGTTTACTTTCAGCTCGGTGGAATTTACACCGAAATGATGATGGGACCCGAAGTTTGAGATTTTTGGCGGTTGTTTTGATGGCTGCTTCTGCCGCTGGCGGCCGGGGTGGATCTATCCGACAGAAAAGAGGACGGGAAGCAAAGGTGAAGAGGCGGAGCAGGCCAATCAGGGGCCGCTCCAACCAAGACAGTGGCATCAATGACAGAATAATGGCCTGACTTTTGAGGGTCCGGGGGTTCCAAAGCACAAGCGTCATCAAGTTATCAACACAGCCATGTGGTAGTTGTGGATAAAGGGAAAAGCCGATTGCTCTAGCATCGAAATCTGATTATAAAACGAAGCTTTCCCATTCTCTCTTTTTTCCCCCCATCGACATGTTTTGATTCAGAGAATTGGAGTTGGGGTTCTCCTTCTCCACTCCCTTTTCCTGCACCACCATCTCCGGCCTTACCGCAATCACCAATCAGCAATTCCAGATGCCTACTCCTCGGATTCTCACCAGTGGACAACAAGGGCCAACAAGGCACAGCTAGGCCACAACTTGGTTCTTCTAGTCGGTCCCCGCTCCGAATCCTCTCATTGGGACGACGGTTACAGTTGCCGACACAGAAACTAAAAAGGCCCAGAGCGGATACGTGCTCCAAAGGCCAATGGATACTCACATTAATACACCGATATCACAGCGCGGCGCGTCGGTTGACAAACAACGGCTATCCCGTCCATCTCCATCAGAGAGATTCGTGGACAGAGGAGAGGGGATCAGAAAACAGATCCGAATACGACGCGGACCCTACAGGAGTTTTTCTCGAGTCCACGACCCCATAGCCATGGATGGGAGGAGGAAAGCAAATGCGCACTAGGGACAACGGAGCTGTCCTTGTCCTTGGGCTTTCGAATAAAATGATTCCGAGGGAGGCGGTGACATTGCCAACGATAGGCGATGAAGAAGTAAAGTTTCGGATGCGGGAGGCTATTGGGGCAGAAACAACGGGGTCGAACGGGGTCGTTCTTTCCCGAGGAAGGAAGTCTGCGAAAGCTTGCATCCAGTATCTCTCCGAGACTCCATCTCGCTCGCACCGCGCTTTCCATTTTCTTGCAGCCAAGCAGCCTCTTTGCTGTCTTTTTCTCCGTGGCGAAAAAAGAAATGGTACCCAACTATCTCATTGATTGAACTTGGAGGTGGATTCGTCACTGGACAGACAGCATTGCGATAATCCTTCTTTCTTTTTTTCTCCGCCCCCAGACCGCCGCCTCGACATTGTACCTACTGCTACGCGCATCATATGCCGCCTCACGGAGGGACACGACGACACATCACATATGCTTGTGGTAGCCGAGGCGTCATCGTTTTCAGCCGCAGTCATCGTCGGGAGTCAGCGTTTACTGCGCACTTGCTGCAATGTGAGTTTCATCCCGCAAGTTTCCTTTCTTTTCTGTCTTGTTTTTTGTTTTCCTTTCTTATTTGTACAACTCCCGCGCGCATCCTTTGGTATCCAACTGGAGGCAGTCCCACCGTCTCGTGACCTTGGGGTTGGCTTCTTTGTGCGACAGACGGCGGTGTCTTGTCGGCTGGCAGTTGGCATGGTTGGCTGTGATGATACATAGTGATGGACACGTCGTTGGAGGGGGACTTGTCAAATTCAGTTAGGTTGCGACTCTGGCGGGGGGAGGGGGAGTACCCCACATGTTGACATCATTCTGCTCGTGCTTGGATCTTCCATTCTCGGGACCCTTCCATCGGCGTTTCTTCCCTTTTATCTAACTCGTCAATCGTGGCTGAATTCGGACGCAGTTGCACGATTTTGGCTCTTGACACTCGATTGACCTGCACGATTCGTCAAATTCATCCTTTGGACCATAGAGGTATGTAAGTACACTACACAGTACCTGCCTACCTGTAATGCGCCGCGCGGTGCCTTGGGAGGTTGGTGATGGAGCCAATGGGGCTTAGTAGGCTTCTGGTTAGTACCGTCGGCGATGTACCGAGAACGACAAAGTCCAGTTGGACGGGCGTTCAAAAGCTCGGGATGCTCTTTCCGTTCCTCTTGGCGAAGCTCACGTTTTAGGTAACCACTACAACTCGAGTGAGAACCCCTCATCCAGGAAGTGCGTGTCGTTAACAGTCCGGGCGGCAGTACCTGACTCGCTCAGTGTGTGCTTTTATTTCGGGCTTTCATTTGAGCAGTGGTTCGCAACTGAAAGAATGCCTCTATGGCACAGTGCGTTCCAAACACACCATACCTTCCATGAGCTGGGGATTGCTGGGTACCCCTTGCAGGGTTAATCACCACATGTTTCCTCACTCGCACTGCCAATGCAAATGTTTCATCGCTTCCTGTTACCGTGTCAGTCAGACCACCGCGCCGGGCCATGAATAGGTAGCAAACCGCTACCCTCACGGCTTTCTCAGTTTCCGCGCTCATTTTTTTGAGCAAACAGCATCAAAACCTTGACACTCAGTCCGCGAGATCTCTTTGCGCTTGTTTTGCCTGTGGCGCGGTGGAGCTTTGAGCTCCATCGGATCGGGAGTTCAACCACCCCGGGCCATTCGGGACTGGCCACACCCGACAGCACCACGCTCACTGCGGATTCGGTGCGGATTGCACCCTGAATTCGTCAGTACATGGAACCTGCCCCGGTTAGGTTACTCTGATGCGGTCCCCGAGATTGTGCGCTCTTTGCTCTGCGAGCCAAGGGAACTGAGCCGAGCGATCGAATTCGGAACATTTCCCATGAGCTAGTCTAGGTGCCCTGGCTGCCCGGGCTGCCACTGCCCTAGAGACGCATACCTCCCGTCCGTACATGTCACCATTCATCTTTTTCCCTGTCCTGTCCTTTTTATTTTACTTTTTATAATCTTTTTTTCTTATTTTTTTCTCTTTCGGTGTCTAGCCAAGTTCCGTTCAAGCATCACGCTCTTCACGTTGTGCACAGACTTTTTTTTTTTTTTTTCCAAAGAAAATCAGCGCAAAAGTGGACGTCCTCACGATTCTCCAGCCCCGGTTTCTCCTCTTTTGACGAGCTCCAAAGCTTGGAATTTTATGCGACCCTAGTGGATCTAGGTGCCTCTAGCTGTTCATGATAGTAGCTTCCGAGAACCTGTCTCCCAGTCTCCTTGCTCACGGAGGTTGCGTTAAGGTTATCCTGCCACCCACAGTTCGTTCTCCTTATATTTTTTTTCTTCCTTTTTTCCCCTAGTGGTATCTATACTGATACTATCTACTTGGCAAGACATAACTATCTACTCGGCAAGACATCAGGATATCGAGGATTGGTAACCCCAAGATACTAGTGTAGGTACATCTCTCGACTCCAATCCTTCCCTCAGTCCCTTGACCTGGTCCTATCCGAGGTATTGCCGTCTACCTAGAGGTAGTTCTAGCTACACTAGGTACAGTACCTTCAGCCCTCGACGCCAACGCTGTCCACTCACTCACTCAAAGCTCCAAGGCCCCTGCTTCAACACATGTCATTTTTCTTCTGCAAATTATTGGGACAGCACAGCTCATTTTCCCTCCCCTTCCCCCAATACCACTCAGAGACCAGAGTTTCATTACGACCTCACAGAGGACGTTCCGTCAGGCCGGCACCCACCCCCATACCACCCATCCATACCTCTTTCGGGCATCTCTCCCTGTGACACGCTAGAATCGCTTTAGAGTTGGGGCTCTTCTACGTTAGGACTAGGGCCTCCATTGCCTGCATCACTGCGCAGCATTGATCTTCGCTGGGGTCACTGGCATTTCTTAACGTTTGATCGACTGGCCGCAAGTGCCACCACTACCACTCACACGCACGCCCCAGTCACCACACACACCGGCTGTCTCTGAGATCGATCCGCTTCTTCCCACCACCAGAAAAGGAACGCCAGCTCACCATTTAGAAGAGCAGCTACCAGCAGTCTCCCGGCAAAAGCCTCGGCCAACATCATACTACATAAGTCTCAGAGAGGGCACGCACCCAAGCATCCACCAGAGAGCATCTCGCAGCAAAAGGTCACCGATCGGACCACTCACTTATCTCCAACCACGACGGGGAAACTAAATCATCTTTGTCACCGACCACGACCCCCAGCACTCTCTACACTTACTGCACCTCATTTGCTGGAGGGGATTTGTTGATGCCATAGCAACCACTTGGACTGTTCGGTATCATCGCCGTTGCTACTGCGGTGGCAGTTCGAAGCCGACCCGCTTGACAGGGAATCCCACAGGGAAGGCCCCCCCCCCCAAACACCCTCACAGACTAATTTCTGGACAGCTGGAAGTCCTAGTCTCTCCGTCTCCAGTTTCACTCTAGGCCCCTCTTATAGTCACTTGCCACCTCCACTTTGGCCATCCACTTCGACATCACGGGCAGAATTCTACCCCGATGCGACTGTGACTTTGTTGACCAGATCGACCTGTTATCCATTCGCTCCAGTCAGCTGTGTCTCTCCTCAGCAAGGGGCATAATATCTATTTTCTGCCATCACTGCGACTAGGAGATGTAATCGGTCTCTTCCTGTGTCATAACCAAGTCCTCCATCTATTACAGGGGGCTGACCTAAGCCGTTTGGGCGATTATGCTGTGGTATTTACTTTACCCACTAAGAGGGTTGGTTGTCCTGGATTATTTCCCCCCTTTTGTTCATCTACTATAGCATAATCATGCTGACCTTCGGCAGGACAACCGAAGCCCCTGTGCTTCCTCCAGACCATCCTCTGCGAACAGCCTTTTCGCGATATGGAACCTGGACTGCCCGCCATGTCAAGACAGTGCTCCCTTTGTCGGTAGCGCTCGTCTTCTGCCTGCTTTATCCCATATTTTTTCTCTACACAACAGACGCCACCAATGTTACTAGCGGGGTGTCTAACCTTCCTCACCATGTCTGGACTGATGCTCAGCCGCTTAGTGAACGCGCTGTCGCTGAGCCCGACGTCATCATGCGTTCCGTCTGGGTGCACGGCAGCTACATGAAAGCACTAGATCGCGAAATTCTGCTGGGAGCCCTGGAACTGCAGGATACACTATTGGGACCGACCACCAACTTCAACCCTCGCCGACCGCACGCATCTCGTATCTTGCCCAATGACCCTACGGTTGACATGACTCGGGACCAAAGGGATGCTTTCCATATCGTCAATGGTTTGACGGATCAATCATGGTTCTTCCACTCGCCTCTACAGTACTGGGGTGGTTCTGCCGATAATATCGCTGCAGACAGTGATATTATTTCTACTGTCAACGAGAAGAAGACACAGTCAACTTCGGTTAACATTACCTTGCGGCACTCATTTGTCTTCAGCGGGAAGCGTTTCGAGGAACGGAGACTTGTTGCGGCCGACGCTCTGGTTATCACCCTGATTCATTTCAAAGATTCACCCCTTGGTCGACAGTGGGTTCGAAATGCTGAGAGACTGGCTGCGCAGGTACATGACAAGTGGACAGTCATTCCACATGACGGCAAGAGCATGGCGAGTCAGTTATACGAGTTCCAGTTTCGACCAATGTCATGGCCGGACTGGTTTCTCTTGACCATCGCTTACTCACTCACGCTTTTCTACCTTCTTCTCAGCCTTTCCAAGCTCCGCGCTGTCAAGTCCAGATTCGGGCTCATGGCTACTATCCTGGCCCAGATCGCGGCTTCGATCGGCTCCAGCTTCACAATCTGCGCCATCTTCAAAATCGACCTGTCTCGTGTCCCATATTATGCCTACCCGCTTGTGGTTCTGGCTATCAGTATGGAGAATTCGTTTCGGCTGATCAATGCCGTCATTATGACCTCTTCGTCCATCAGCATCAGCGACAGGATAGGAGAGGCCTTCGGCCAGACCGCTTATGTTGCCATCCTTAACAGGTTGCAGAACCTGGCTATCCTCCTCGGCCTATCCAGGATCACGTTCCCGGGTGTTGCTGCCTTCTGCACGTTTGCTGCAGTTGCCATTGTCTTCGATTTTCTCTACCTCGCAACTTTCTTCCTAGCGGTTCTTAGCGTGGATGTGCGCCAGCGGGAACTTTACGAGCTGGAAAAGGCTTCGTTGAGGAAAACCAACGATGTCTACAACATCACCTTGCTCGATCGTATCCGCCGGATTCGCCATGGTGGGGCAACCGTATCAACCCGGGTTGCTGGTACCATAGTCATTCTTGGCTTCATCTTGCTTGCGCAGTCTCACTATGCGCTAGAGAGCGGCAGCCAGTGGCTCAACTGGATATTCACGCGATCCTGGAGGGTTGCCGAACCTGCCTTCTCCAAGTCTTCACACTTGGTCGACATCCATCAAGCCAGAAGCCCTACGTCGTGGCTCCGCCTTCAGGATCATGAGACTGCGCGAGAAGTTATCAACGTGGTCAAGCCTTGGGCGCATAGTTACGTCGCGCGCGTGTACGAACCACTGGTTTTTGTAGCAAAGGGCGCCAATCGCATCCCCCACAGCCCGGAGCCCATGTTCCTGCCGGCCGTGTACGACTTCATTCACCACGAGATTCCGCGCTTCGTGGTGATCATGTTGACGCTGGTGGCCCTGCTTCTGCTTCTTACCAACTACCTCCTACAGGGCAATGACAAGCAGGCAGGTGATCCTGACCATCCTGAAAACGAGCCTCTGCTGTCGGTACGAAGTCTCAGTCACGGCCATGACCTTGACGTCGTCAAGATGGCTGTTTCGCCAGGCCACAAGCTTGTTTCCGTAGGGCTGGACAGGAACATTCAGATCTGGGATGTACCACTGAACTCGCGGACGCGCGTCATGTCCGATTCTGAAACTCCTCTGGAAAATCCGTTCCCAGTTCTGGCTATGGCAATTGATGATGACTCGAAGTGGTTGGCTTTACTGACATGGCAAAGGGTTCTTCTTTGGGATACTGACGAGCAGCAATGGGGGTTGTCGATTGAGGTCGAACTTGGCGGTCACAAACCGGAAGCCATGTTCTTCAACTATACGAACAAGACTTTGGATACGCCGTCTCTTGTTGTCGTGAGGAAGAATGGCACAATGTTTGAGCTTGACCTTGAAGGTACGGCGTCCAAGGAGTTTACCATTTGCAAGACTCCTTTTGCCATGGCGCTGCCATTTGCAGAGCCCAGTAAGTCTAACCCTTTCCATTTCTCGACGAAGTAGTTACTGAGTGGTTGATGAATTAGCCTCTGCAAACCAAGTCAGCCAGTCGCTTTCAATCCTGACGCTATCACGCAAAAGCTGCATCCACATTGTACGACAGCAACCTGGCGGGTGGACTTCCAAGGAAGTGAAGCTCACGACAGGCGAGGCGAAGGACATCCACTCCATCGTCCCTGCACCTGACCTATCCATGTACCTCGTCTGCAGATCCCGCTCGGTTGACCTGGTCGATCTTGAATCGTCGGCCGTCATTCAGACCTTTAACACCGAGCCCATGGAGCCACGATCATTGAAGCTCCTACTATCCTCTCGTGGAGCTCCGCAGCACGGGCTACCGCCCTTGTCGCTGTGCTACGTCAGTTTGGAGACGGGCGATCTCGTGATTCAGACCTTTTACCGAGCAGACGAGGTCGATCCCATGCATTATCCCAAGGATTATGCTCCTGAAGCGCCGAACCAGCCATGGAATGAGGAGAAAGAAGTAAAGAAGCGAATCGAGAAACCAGGTCGCTGGGAGATACTCCCGAACGGAGGTATCGTGGGTGTCAGACGAGTGCCTGTGGCCTCCTTGTCGTCATCACGACGTAGGAGCTTCCGGGCGGTGTCATCAGGAGTCGGAGTCGGATACGGTTTGCGACGACGTGGAGCAGGAAGCGGTGGCATAGCTGCTGATTCTACCGATGTCACAACTCCAGACATAGGCATGACGGTATGGGAGGCATGGGCCTTCAACAATCTGGAAAGTGCCAAGACCAAAGGTATCGAGACGCAGCCGCTTGATCAAGAAGCGGACGGGGAGGACGCCATGTATGATAACTTGTGGGTTTCAGAGCTGGGGCCCATGGTAAGGCTGGGCACGGCGAGCGTGGCGGTGGGGCTTGGAAATGTGATCAAGGTGATCAGTGTTGGACACGAGCATTTCGATAAGGTGGTCACGAGGGACCGGTTGACGGCGGAGAACTTGAGGAATCAGAATTATTTCAGACGGAGGAAGACGGGGTCGGCGGCGCAAAGAGCAAGGGGAGGATTGGGAGGAGGAGGTGCGGCTGCTGGTATTGGAGTGTAGAGATATCACCATGGTGTACTGGTAGAGGTGGAGTAACGGGTATGGGAAGAAGGAATGTGGTCTTCGTAGAAATTCAATATACCAAAGTGCTCTTTGCTGCTTTGAGTTCACAAACTGTCCTTGATTGCTTCAGCACGAGTTAGAAAGTATACTGTCGCTCTGCAAATCGCCGTCTTGCCTCTCATACACATATACATATCCATGCTTGTCTGCAGCAGCTCCTTATTAAGCCGGTTTAACACAATAGGACAGTGCGTGCAGCTCTCCTTTCACTATCCACTTGTTGTTGGGTGGTGGTGAAGCATGCCCGTCCGGCAGGGGAACGGCAAGGTTTTGGCGCTGCGGGGGGGGCGGGCGGGCGAGGCCAAGCGAAGGGCCCCGGCCAATGGAAACCAGGCCACCCACAGCCCAGGGCAGGCGGGCGGCATCCATGCCCGCACCGGGGCAACAGCAGTGACCAGGTCCCAGCTGAGTGAGGTCCAGGCCCCATTTCTGTGGACAAGTTTCCCTGCCCGCCCGCCTTGCCTGCCCTGCGACTGCAACACAACGTCAAAAGAAACCACCAAGGCTGTGTGTGTTTGTTGTACCCACCCCGACAACAACCACGTAATTCCACTTCCACTTCCGTCTTCCACTTCTCCCTTCTCTCCTTTACAACAAGCACGCCAACAACATACTTTCTCTTTTCTGTATCGCAACCATCATCTCTACCCGCGACTCAGTCCATTATCCGTCATCACTGTCAACTACCTTTTAAAGTACTTCTTAGCTGTCAAGCAGGTGCAAACGGCGCCGCCGACCACCAATCCACAATGTCGGACTACAACAGCATGAAGGTCCCCGAGCTCAAGAAGCTCCTCAACGAGCGCTCTTTGCCCCAGACCGGCAACAAGGCCGACCTGATCGCTCGTCTTCAGGAGCACGACAAACAGCAGGCGAAGCCCGCCGATGCCGCGCCCGGTCAGTTTTCCTCGATTCGATCATCATCCTCTCCCTGGCTGCGAGAAAGCCCGTCACGTCGCCCTGCGATCACGAACGCGTTTCAAGCCTCCACGCTTGTACCCCACGATCGCTACCATACCATTATTGTTCGATCGATGCCCATCTTTAAACAGGTGGCCGTTTGTGTCACCCAGACCGCTTCCAACGCGCAACGCACCACAGAACTCACCTTGCCACCAACATCATGATCGCAGGAACACCAGTCACTGACACTTTACTTTCAATTTAGCCACCACCAAGAAGGACGGCGAGGCTGAGGATGAAATTGACTACGAGGATGATGACTTCCCCGCCGGCGACAAGAAGGCCGCCACCGAGACCACCGACGAGAAAGCCCCTGCCAGCGCCGCCGCCGAGACCGCTACAGAGTCAGAGCCCAAGGCCCCAGTAGAATCCGAGGAAAAGAAGACAACAGAAGCCGCCCCCGCTGCCGCTGCCAGCACAGAACAACCCGCCGCTTCTTCCGCTCAGGGAGAGGAGGTCGCCGCCAAGGACACCACTACCGCCACCGCTACTACTGCCGAAGATCCCAGCAAAGCAGAGGAGCAGAAGCCGGCCGAGCCTCTCTTCTCCCAACACCTTCCCCCCACCGATGCCAAGTCCGAAGCCGAGAAGCGCGCCGCCCGCGCCGCCCGCTTTGGCATCACGACAGACGAGAAGTCCGAGGAGGTCCAGAAAGCTGCGCGCGCCGCCCGCTTTGGCCTGGCTAACGACCAGGTATCAGCTCTCGACAGCGCGTTACCCGATAGGCCGCGCAAGCGTGGTCGTGGCGGTAAGGAGGAGGGTGCTGGCGAGGAGGGTGGCAGTGAGAGGGCAGCTAAGCAGCAGAAGACCACCGCTGCTGCTCCTCAAGAGAACAAGGGCGGCAACCAGAGGCAAGGTGGTGGTGGTGGTGCTGGTGGTGGAAGGAACAGGCATGGGAGGAATAGGAACAACAACAACAACAACAACAACAACCGTGGTGGTCAAAGTCAAAACAGCAGCAGGCAACAAGGGAATCAGCCCAAGCAACAGCAGCAACAACAGAAAAAGCCTGCTGCTGCTATCGACCCAGCGGAAAAGGCCAAGATGGAGGCTAGAGCGAAGCGCTTTGCTGCTGCGTCCTCCTAAGTTGTTGGACTGATGATGTGAGAGGGGTAAATTAATAGCTTCGGATAGCGTGATAGCGATGAAGTCGTGATCAAACCTGCAGCTCAATATTTCTTTCGCTCTCTTCTATCTCACCTCTTTTTTCTTCCAACGAGTAGTAAAAGTTTGGATACAGGGGTTATTTGATTCTTTATGGTCTATGTACAGCGAAGGGAGGAGAGGGAGAGTGTGAGTGACTTTGGAAGAGATGAATTAAAAGAAGTCATGGCAAGAGTCCAGCTCAGCTGAGATCAACTTTCCAAATCTTGCTTGCTTGCTTCTCATCAGATCGGGTGCACGTTGGGCGTTTCGGGTGGCGGACAGGATGAAGACGAGGATATGGTCGGTGAGATAGGTTAAGGGAAGGTCTCCTTCGTATCTAGTGATTTGCTTCGTTATATCTAACCTAAAGTTCATCTTGGTTGAACTATTCGTTGGATGTGATCTCATGTCATGTTCACACCCGGCGGTCTATCATACCTCAGTGATGTCCTATGAATTTATTTATTGAAAGGAAGTTGGTCATGATAGGCAACGAACCCTAAAAGAGTAGAAGAATCCATAGAGTTTGATTTACGGGATTGAACTGCCAACATGAATAACACCTGTATCGGTGTGCAACATGAAAATGAGTATCTTCTGGTGTGAATATGCAAGTACATAATTTGTATCATCAAAGTCCCGGTCTGCAAAGCATACCGCATAGTCTGAATCGAAGTGAGTCTGAAAATTTAATGATATAACTAGCAGCTACCACACACACACACACACACACACACACACACACACGCACACGCAGACGTTTCTTATTACTGAGCCACATCCTCTGTTCACTTGTTGACTGACTGACTGACTGACTGACCTTACAATATCGGTATGTGTCTATCTTTTCGTAATTTCAAGGCAGACATTCATGTTTCTGCCCACCTAATCTCTGAGACTTGGTTTTGGTGTTCGTCTTATTCCTGATATCTTGAGATTGAAGAAAATGGAGGCCGACCAGGATGATCATCTGGAGGAAGATTAAGGAAGGGAAGGACGAGAAAGAAGGAGGAGGAGGAGAACGGTGCGACAACTTTATGAGTTTATATTGGAAAGAGCTAGGATGATGATGGAGTCGTTGAAGGCGGAGGCAAGGATTAGGAAGACGAGGAGGGACATGGATGGATGCGTAGATGGATGAGGAACAAGGTGAGAAATACGAAGAGGAGAGGGGAAAGACGGGGGTGAACCATGCACGTTGGGAGGAGAATATAAGCTAGAGAAAGCGAGTAGACATGAGAAATAGTACCAAAAGTCAAAACCATCACCTCTTCTCAGGATGCATCTAGTGAGTAGCCCGGACGAAAGACACGGTTTCAGTTCAATAATCGACGACAGCAGTAATTCTTAGTACGTCTAGGGCTATGTGTATGACGAAACAACATCGAGTGTCTGTCCCCATCATATCACCGTCACCTCCAGCCATGTATCGGATAATTTCACCGGTAGGCAAATCCACCAACACCAAACCAACCTTATCAAAGACTTTCCACACAAATGTTGCGACCGCTTTTGGCATAGATAGACAGACACCTTCACCTAACCGAAAACTGTATACACCAACTGACCACAAATCAAGCCTTACAACCTCTGTGTATCATGCGATTGGGCGTCTGCTAGCCCAGAAGCCAGAAACAGAACACCTCAAGCGGGATTTGAGCACTACAGGTAAAGACGTGGGAGGAAGTAGTCAGGGGGTAAGCACCTACCGACCGGGTTGATACAAATATACAAAACCCCAATTACGTGTGGGTAATCCTTCCATCCTTCCATCCATCCTTCCTTCCTTCCCCTTTTTTCCTTCCTTCCCCTCTTTTCTTCCTTCCTTCCTCGCCAATCTGGAACCCTAAAACAGAGAAAATGAGCGCGAGAACAAGTTCTCGTCGTCACATGACCCAGTTAGAGACTTTTCCAGGCTATTTGGGAAGGAGCGTTGTTATAGGAGAGCAATTGGGCACTCGAATAGAAAAGGGAGAGAGAGAGGTGGAATGTCAACGAACGAAAGCTTCCATCTTTTCTTCTTCACATGCTCATATATCATGGATTTCAGTACTTGAAAAGGGAGGGAATACAGCTAAACAGGGAGGGAGTAGTAGTCTACGGATCGCGGCGAGGTGGAAAAGACATGTTCTGGTTTAGGAGATACTGAATGGGTGAAAGGATGGAAGGTTACTTTCTTGAATTCGCTCTGCCATTATTAGTTGGGACACTGACCTAGCTCGCTTTCTTCATTTCTCGGCTTTGAAGGAGGTGAAGTATATTTCATCGGAACTTACTCCATGGTCAAAGATTTCTTGTCCGCGGCCTGGGTTTAGAGCCCGCAAGGACACTTATATGGAGACTGGTTGATGTTCTTATTTGTTCAGGGGTTTCGGGATTCTGAGAAAATGGGACTGGGCATTAACAGCTCTCTCTTAGTTGAACCAGACTCCGATACATCGGACGAATGCTTGCCAGGGACATTCCTCATTTCGGCACAGAAACTTCAGAGACAGAGCCACGCAGCGAGTGTGGATAATAAATGGTATGAATACTTCTTTGAGCGTAGGTACGTACGTATTTAGAAGCAGCGGAGTGTGTCTCGTGAGCAGTTTTGGTATCATCACCGGGCTAAGACAGTAGTAAATTAAAGACAAGAGAAAAGGAATATCAACCCCACCCACCCTCCGTCCAATAGCCAACCTGCCAACCTGCCAACCCAAACCAACTTTAAGCATAGATAAGATGAGATGAGGTTCGAGTTTGAAATGCCATTGATCATCAATGCTCCAATCCCTTGGCCTGATCACCATGAACGATTACCACTACCCCGATTTGAAGCAAGTGCAAATTAGCAACCCCCCCCCCTCCCCCCCTCCCCCCCCTATGTGCTTGATGATGAAAAAGTGAAAACATGAAAAGAACGGAAGAAAGGTAACCAATAACACCTTGACTCCTACATGCCTGTTTGTTTGTGTTGATTGATCGTTCGTTTTGAACCTACTGACGATGACGATGACCTCCATGCATCCTGCACTCAATGGCCTCTGTTTCTGAATATCCTTCTTTATGGCACGATGATATTGGTGAATGACCAACTTCCTTTGCCGGCGCTAGTTTTCCATTGATTGAGTGTGTCTTGTCTTGTCTGTCTTGTGTGTAATGATGAGCGGGATGCTTTTTTTCCGGTTTCCAGTTCCGAAACATATCACTCCCTCAGTCTTTGTCCCTGTCCAGGGGATCCTCAGAATAATGGGCACCTGTGCCTCAATGATTTGCTGCGGCACCAGCGCGCATTATGAGTTTTCCTCCCATCCCGATTTGCAGCCTTTTAACTCGAGTCCCTCGCACTTCTCGTGCTGTCACTCCTATCACGTCCAGCGCCTTGTCGAACCGCATCCTGATAGCTCGGAATCGGAGGGCTCGGCGGCCTATGAGAACCTGCCCTTGGCCTGTTGTGGCTTCCACCGCTCTGAATCGGCCTTGCTGTGGCTGACGAGGCACCTCGACTCCTGCCGCTGAGTTGGATAAGAGGGGTGTTTTCGCTGTCGGAGCTATGTCTCCTGCTCCCCGGTCGAGAGTTGACAGGGCTGGTATACTCGGGAGGTGGCTGATCCGGACTGAGGAATCCACCGGTTATGGGCTGCCCATCTTGGTCGACCAACGCTGCAGCACTACTGCTAGGTTCGCCTGCATCCTCCGTGGGTACCAAATGAGCAAGCGAGATATCTGTCGGGCTGCGAACGGGTCCTGGGCTCGTTGGTGGAAACATTCGAAAGTTGCCTGATCGTGTGCGGTTATGAGAAGAGTCGACTGCAGCCAAGCCTTGTCTAGAATACGTCTGCACGGGATGACTATACCCGCGCCCACGTCCAAGCGTGCTGGTAAACCCATCCTTGGTGCCGGCCTCGAGGAGAATACTGCCTTGCTCGGAACCATATGGTGGTGGCGGTGCGAGCGAGCCAGTCATAGGAGCGAGACCCCACTTCTTGACATTGGCTTCGATGAAGACAAAGCCAGCCTGACCAAAGTTGACATGGACGATGCAGGGTCCGTTCGCGCCGATCGAGGGGAAGAAGTTTTGCGACTTCAAACCGTGTACTACATCCTCCAACTTCTTTCCGTTTCGGGTGAAGAAAATCGTGCCACTTCGCGGGCGGTAGCCGACGCCAATAACATCGCCTTGAACAACTTGCGGGCCGTAGGAAGTAGCATTGAAGGGTTGATTGTAGCGACGGGTTCCGTTGGATAGGTACGCGACAGAGTACTTGTGAAAGCCTAGAAGGTTCGTTAGTGACTTTGTTCTGGAGGATAGTAACGGAAGTGTACCAACCAGGGAGCCTGAACAGAGGATACGGCTTGGTAGCCATTCCTATGCTAATCAACGTATTCTCGGGCTTATCGTAAACCTTGGCCTCCCAGTAGTAAACCTCATTCTGCTTCGGTACCGGCAGGTTACTCATGACGGTGCATTCGGAATCGAAGAACTCGATCTCGGTGCGGGCCTCGACAAAGCAATTTGCGATTTCCAGCTCCGGCTCAAACTCCCAGGCCGACACTCCCTTCTCCTGTATGGCAAGATATTGGGATAGCGAAATGTCCGTCTGCAGGGACTCGGGTGGGTTGGCGGCGATAAAAGCTAAAAGTGAGGATCGCGTCAGCAACACTTTTCAAGATGTGGCAAAAAGCGCATACTATGTAGACAGCAACAACCGCTGCTTTACCTTTTGCCCTCAAGTATTCCGTCCGTTGCATATCATCCATCGTCTCGAGGGCCTCAGCCTCCTCCCGCAGAAACTGTTGCTCGTCATCGTATTCGCCGGGTCGACCAATGCGGTCGAGGAAGATGCGCCCTGACGTTGTGCAGCGGAAGAAGTAGAAGATGAGGAAGAAGCAGCCGATCAGTATCGCCGACCCGAAGGACGATAACAGACCAATGATGATGCCATTCATCCCGGGAC